TATCAAAAATAACCTTTAGTAGGGCCAGTTGCATTGCTGACAAAAGCCTTCCCATTATTTCTCTACGGATCTACGTTACGGCTTTCGGGCAGTGGTCGCAGTAGGTACCTTCCTGGCCCATTGATCAGATTTTAAGATTCAAGTCGGAAAATCATATTCTTTGGAGATATCAGATTTCAGCTTCCAAAGGAACTATTAGAGAAAATAGTCTGAAAAATCCTTTACTTCTTGTCTTCTGACAAAAGTAGAGCGACAAAACTAAACCGAAGTTTACCGCGGATTATCAAAACCTGACTAACGACTTTACGTAATTAATACGTCGTCGTCAAGGTCAATTTGATACCATTGAGCGAGGATAATCCGCTTCCTTCGTTAAAACAATAGTGTTTATATTACGTTCGGAACAAATGAGATCAACTCGACTTCCGCGAGTCTGCGTAAAGCCAAACATTACGATGCACCAGGTGTTTGCCAATTTATTCTGCGTAAGCGCATTGTTCTTAGTTAATAGTATGCATCACTTGGACCAGATTCCGAATTTTATAAAGACCAAATATGCCTTTTCTATTTCTTAATAAGTTTTAAATAGATAGATTAATATTTATGAAAGAATATTTAATAGATAAAAGTATTTCTTTTACTCGTAGTGACCTCTCCCCGCTTTGAACAGGTGTTCATTTAATACCCAACGCAACAAAAGATGGCTGACGTCACTAGTGTGTCATTTGTTTTCTTTTTATTTCTTGTTTTTACTTATTATTTGATTGATTCTTTCTCTCATTTGCTGTAAACTTCATTGAACACTAGCGGCTCGTTCCTCCTATTTTGCTAATGGCGAAAGGGTCCCTTCTTCCCAACTCTCTCTTCTTAAAACAAAGAGAACAAAAAAAATTTGGCAAAATTTGTCCAGCCGTTGCTGAGTTATGTACTTACGACACTGAACCAATGTTACGGTTTCAATAAATCCTCAATAGTTGCCCAAAATTGACGCAACTTGTAAAAGTATGTACGTAACGTTTTTAAGTGTGGGAGAGCCATGCTTTGGCACGAATGGGTCGGCTCGATCGGAGTGATACCACGGCCTTACAGAAGACCGGCGTGAAACAACCACAGCGTTGTGTTTCGCCGTGTGAGTGAGGTTACCGGAGGCCCAATCCTTCCCCTCCCCCAGTCCCTCTTTAATCCCTACATCTCCAAATCTCTAATCCCTAAAAGGTCGGCAACGCACTCGTAACTCCTCCGTTGCGAGTGTCCATGGGTGGCGCTTATTGCTTGCCATCAGGTAATCCGTCTGCTCGTTTGCCGACCTATTAAATAAAAAAAAGTAACAATATATGAAAATTAATTAAACCGAGTGCTGGCACACTATCATAGCATCTAAATGGGACGCGGATTAAGCCGTAACCACAGTTCAAACACCCCTGTTGTATCAACAAATAGCGGGCACGTTGACGTTTGAATCCACAAATATTCAGACAGATTTGATTTGTTATACGAAGTAGTGAACGCTTCGCAATGATCCCTGTAGTTGTCTTTGATTTAGAATTTTGTAGGCGTTGGTTTATTATGTTAGCACATTTTGATACTGAATTATAAAGAAGTACAAATACTTTTTGAAGAACTTATACATAGATACTTGTAGACGTTTTCAACCTCACCTAGGCATAGTCTACTCATACTTGGTTGGGTAACTATGCCGCGACAATATTGCAATGTACACTCAGCATCAAACATATAGGGACGCACACAAATCACCAAAATATTTGACGCCGACTGTACCACAATAATTTTAAAGTTGATGTTTTTAATTCGATGCCCTTTACAATAAGAAATAATAAAATAATATTTTAAAATTTAGATTTAAGTAGGTATATTAATCCAATAATGGTCGAAATTGAAGCCAAAATTAGCATAGCACGTTTAACGCGACACAGTCCGTTTAGTTATAAAATGTCTGTTAACACCTCATGTTCATGACACCGGATACACTATTCGTGGCCACTGAAAATACTGAGAAGCTATATCTGTTTTTATGACTGTATTTATTTATAAGACGTGTGGCAATAACATGCGGTAGATTCAAACTCAATAAGAATAATTTATTAAGTCCTTACAGCCATTTATGAACGTCAAACAAATTCAAGATAAAATGTGTCAGTTCGTCGGTCAGTCCTCTAAGTGAAGCTAGTGTAGATTCCAATGAATAAGAACGAGCAATAAACTCTATGGTTACTCTTATTCAATCAGTTTTTCATAAGAAAGGTCGCGGTTAAGAACAATAAGGTACCGTGGCCTCGGCTTGAAGTAAGAGAAGGAACGGGAGGGTTTTTAATCAGTAAGAGCCTGACACTCTTTCTGATGAACGTTGCCATCACAAAAAAGGTATCATAAAATATGTATAAAAATATGGTTAACTAATACTCCCAAAGTACCGAGTCTAGTGAGAAGAGTCTAGCTAGACCATAGATTCCCAAAGTGGTCCAGGTGGACCCCCAGGGGTCCATAGGAGCCCGACAGGGGTCCATAGGAGCCCGACAGGGGTCTACGCTTGCGTGGAAAATGAATGGGGGTCCACAACTCGTTAACGGGGGTCTATAAAAATGTATTCGGTGACCCGACTTGACTTCTTCTATGAATATAGGAAGACAAAATTATAAGAAGCTCAGCAATTGTTTTTGTAAGAACTTGCATATTCCATACTCAGAAAGAGAGTGTCAAGACTCGCCTATTCCGCGCCGCCCGCTCGCCTAGTAAAAGTCGTATCTGAACTTGCATGAATTTGTTGGATTTTTCCCTAATATAAGTTGTTTCCGGAATTTCAAAAAAGAACGTGAATCTAAGAAGAAGTGTCGACTGTACTGTCGACAATCAATATCAATATCAAAATTTTGATTATATTGCAAGAAATGCAATGTTATCTAAATTATAAATTTTGATTATATTGCGACTGTTTTTAAAATACTAATGGTTATTAGTTTTGATGTTAAATTTTGATTTTTGAATAAATAGTTACGAAACAAGAAAATATTTATTTTTACTTTTTACCACTCCGAAGTGGGAGCTTATTGGTTTCTTATACTGTGAGTCAATCTTAGAATACAAAAAAATAAAGTAGGAATCTGTTGGATGAAGACGCTTTTTAGACTGGCCTTGAACTCACAGCATAATCAAAGCAATATAAATTCTTACCTTTTTTTTCGAAAACTCAGAGTTGATTGAAAAATAGTCACAACACAGATTTACATAGACATGTACTTTTTTCGGGTTTTGGAAGTAAGTTAGTAAATGTAATAGTTGCAGGGGGTCCACCAGATCCAGCAAAATGTTAAAAGGGGTCTATGAGAAAAAGAAGTTTGGGAACCTCTGAGCTAGACTCTAGTCTATGGTCTCACACGGGTTGTTAATGATAAGCTATAGCTACTTATAACAGGATCTTGTTATACCAGTATGTTGACAAACTGCATCGACTTTGAAAAAGAGGTCACTTTTAGACGTAATCGCAATGTATAAATTTTAATTTATTTAGAAATGAAAACCTTCTTATCTTAGATTGTATAAAGATAAGGTGTTATAAAGGAAATGCGCTCAGTAATGGTTATTACCTCGATAAATACGAAATGTTTGACGTGGTCACTGATGGTTCGAAGTATTATTATATTTTAATAAAAAAAACTATTTTTTTATATCTTTTTATTCTTGCATAGTGCTAAGTTAGCTAGGATTATTTCTATGTAAGTTTTTACATTTTCCATTTCTTTTTGGAAGTCCTCTTACCAGAAGCTATTTAAAATGGTGATGTCATTTTTGTGATGTTGTAGGTACATATGTATATTGCGCATCGCACCAAAGTCTTTGGGTAATAACGGTTTAAGTCTTTCAAATTGTTTTAGAACTTGCCCTTGCCCTGCGAAGATTTCAAAACTTCCTGATAGACCTTAATGTAACCAACATTTGACTTAGCGAAGTTTATCACTCCCACTTTTAATACGATATGATGACACTGCATGGCTTCATCATCATTAGCCTGATTCCGTCCACTGCTGGACATAGGCCTCGCCACCGCCGGGGTTGCGGGGTAAGCGCAATGAGGCACCGCGATCTCGGCACAGAGCAGGAGAAGGAACAGGGGGGTTTTTAGTCAGTAAGAGTCTGACACTCCCTCCTGCCCGGCCCTGGGCGGGAGAAGTTATTTGATGATTTTCCCCTCACAAAAAAAAGGCCTCGCCACTGAGCTCAATGTTCAGCTCTTCTCATCCAACCATTGCCATCCTGCGGATATCGTCAGTCCTCCTAGCTTTATGGCTTAAGGAAAAGTAATTGTTTCAAGCGAAAGGTGAAGCATTGTATGGTTCACCTTGGCGCACCTTTATGGGAATACGTGTTTTTACTGCTGCGTGCTAAAAGGGAGACTAGTTGTTATGTTCAAACAATGGAAAACAATACATATCACGTATTATACCAAATACGGAATTATATTAAGTGTACCTATTTACTTTTGTCTGTTTATTTTCCTCTGTTTAGACTTTTGGTTAATGCAGTGGTCTAATGCCCGGTTCCTATATTTAACGAATCGTCGTTGTATACGCATTACGACCAAATGACATTACGAATAGTTATCTTGACCGTCTACTGACGGTTAAAATATTTATAGGAACACCACAGACACCATAGATCTCCATACAATTCGCTTACCGACATCCGTTAGTTGCAAACCGTCAGTAAGTTGCACGACGAGACGTTTGTTATAGGAACGGTTTTAGCTTACGAGTCGTATATAAAACTACTATTCGTAACTAAAACGGATCGTTTCTCAATTATAGGAACCGGGCATAAGAGATTTCAGATTTCAAGGGTGGGCTTGTTCTGGATTTTTGGTTATCGATTTTTTTCTTTTTTTATAAGGGATTCATGTCGCTCGGGAAATAATTATCAACAGCCTATGAGAGTCTACTCGACTTTCATGAATTTCTTCGCTACGCTTGCAAATTTGCTTGGCACACATGAAGGTTTATCAGAGAGCGCGTTCGCCTGGTCTTTTACTAGCTTCCACTCGCGTGGTAAGTAAAAGTAACCTGTTTTATAATTCAGGGTATCACTTATCTACTTACTAAATGTCAACGGAATCTGTCCATCCATTTTTGCGTGATAAAGTAACAAATATGTATATTCATACATTTTGACAAACTTTCACATTTATAATGTAAGTAGGATTTAATAATGTAGTCCTATATTGGGCTCTAACGAAACCCACGGGAAGAGTGGAGGTGGTGACAGGTGTATACCGTCACCACACGACCACCGGAGAAGAATACCTATTCATGACTTAACCAAATAAAACACGGTTAAACGCTGGCACAAAATATGAGTAGCTGAAACAGTCTGATTACATAATGTTATTCAAAACCGACAAACAGTTATTTCGCAAAGTTTATCGATGTTATTCGCGAACTACGAAAATTTTCTTTAATCTAACCTTGAATATTTAAATTATCGACCGCGTTATATCTGGTCCTCTCGAGGACATTGTCACAGAAACATTAATGATAATAATAATGATTTTACGTGATTATCATAGCGATAAGATAGTTTTAGATTTCCTACGTTTCCTGCTTCTGATAAACGCAGCCTTCGTTGGTATTTTGTTTACGTTTTTTTTCTACACTTTTCCGTTCGCGTAATTTATTGTGTGGTGTCATTGGTAGTGTTTAGTCTTACCGTATCTTTGTGTTCGTTTACATTGCTTTATTTTGTTCGTGTTTTTTGCAAGTTCAAGTGTGTTTTGTGATATTACGGATTGTGACTGGAAGACCAACTTGCTTAGGGAATACCCCTTTTTTTTCTGTGCTAGTTAGTGGTGACACGGGTCTGCATTACGATTCTCAAGTGTGATTTATGCGTTTTCAGACTGGACAATGAGTTTTGACTTGTTTATTAGTATTGTAAAGCTCTATTAAAGTGAACGTTAACATCAATAAACTTAGTTTTTCCTTAGGGGTAAGATACTTAGAAGTCTTATAGAGGCTCCCGGATGACATTAAAAAAGAAGTTGTTTTTGGGAATTTGGAAATGCCAGAACAGAAAGACCTAGACAATTAGATAGTGTAATTATGCTATTCTAGAATCACTAGGAGATTGAGGAGACACTTATAACTTTACAAACACAAACGAGACATTTTACTTTATTTATTTCCCTTGAAGTAGAAATAGAAAAAGGACTTACTTCTTTTTAAGTAATTACTGAGCCGATTTATTATTATATTTACTCTGGTAGACTGGACCTTGTAGTCTTTGAAAGTGAAACGACAACTTACAAAACTAATTGAAAAACGTTCGACTTACCCCCAGGTTTTTCTTTGATCTAGGTCTAAACCATTGAGCCAGTTTTAGTATTTCGAATTGAAGGCATATGAGAATAAGATTCAAAATACAAAACCTGACTCAATGGTTTAAACCTAGACTGATAAATCTTGTTTTGGGGAGATTTAGGGAGAATTATCCAATGTGACTGGCGACGACTATATCCATACTATCCGCTGTGTTAATATGGACTTGAAAGCGTATAGTGTTAGTGATGATTCAAGTTCAGGGTTTGTTTGGGTGCATAAGATATCGAGGACTTATCTCCGCTTGGTATCGTTGTGTTACAATAAAAAGCAAGGAACTGAATCTGCCCTGATGAGCTCGGATGACTGGTAATTTACTTGAAATTGTGTTTTTGTTTTAATATAAGTACGAGCATTTAATTTGAAGTTGATGAAGTTCTTGTGGTCGTTTTGATTTCGATAAACTTACGTTATGTTTATAATATTTTGAAATGATATTGTTATTAACAGGATGATTACGATATTCATGATCGGTATTCCTGAAAGGGATTGTTTTAAAACAAGAGATAGGTAGCCCAAATATTTTTTGGAAATATTGAATAAATACTATTTATTGACGATATTTTATGTATTCGGGCGGCAAACAAGCCTTCTTTTCACCTGACGGTAAGCAAACGCCGCCGCCCTTAGACACTCGCAACACCAAAGGAATTAAGAATACGTTGACGGCCTTTAGGGGGTTGGAAATCCGAGGTTTGGATTGAGTCTCACTCGCACGTTGAAATGCAATGCTGCTGTGGTATCACGCTGTAGCTGACTGTGGAAATATCCTTCATGAATAAAAACAAATGACGAATTCGTGTCTTATCAATAAAATAACTATTTTTATTTCAAACATTGTACTATTTTGTCAGACAACAATAATTGATTATCCTTGTTTTATTTTTTGTGGCAGTTTTTACGTGACGTTGTTGAGTCGACCATAAAGAATTCGTACTCTAAACGGACCTTGTACATAAACTTGTCTTGGCGCGTACTGAAAAAATGGCGACTCTTTTTCACTAGTTGTTGGTTGGGTGATTTATTATTTTTTTAAATAAATTAATACGATAGTTTCCAACCCCATTCATTCAGTACTTACACCGAAATAATAAAAATCTATGAACTTCGTATGAAATAATGTTTTTATGTAAAATAGCATACTTCATTCCCAAAAATTTGCTAGACATAAAGTTAAATTAAGTAAATATTTAAATTTATCAATGTAAGGATAATGATATTTCAACATTTTGTTAATATTTTCTTTTTATCTAAAAAACTATCCAATTGGTACTTGTTTTCAATGATTTTCGGAGTCAAGACAGCACCCTTGAAAATCAAAACTATACTATTCAGTTCAGTTGTTTTCAGCATTACATGATGTAGATAAAACAAATTTTATGATGTAAAATAAATCATAACGATTATAAATCGAAATAAGTACCATATCTATGTTAATGATTGTGATCGTTCAAGTCATCGAAATTGCGATAAATAGTTATGTAAAATGCGGACGTAATATATCGAAAAATATATATCAATTGCGAAGTTACGTGAGTATTGTAGTATTTATATCCGCTTTAAAAAAAGATTTTTAAAAATAGAACGAATGTTTTTATCTTCTTTAAATAGGTAATTCACGGGTTAGGATAGTCTATGAACCTATTTATAATATTTTTGATAGTGTAGTAAATAAAATATTAAAAGTATTTACTTACTATTTACCTATTTTAATAACAGGTAAAATCACAAGGCCATGTTGCTAAATTCCTCTATGATAACAGCATATAGGTATACACATGTAATTAACATAGTAATAAATTATTAATCATGTTTTAATTAAATTACTATAAGGAAAAATTATTAGTGACAGTACATTTTTCCTCCATATTGTATTCTATGGATAATGTAGAGTAAGAGTATGTAAAGTGACGTCACAGTGTTTTATTTTTTATCTATGCTGTAAGTGTTGAACCTCATTACGTTGATTGACCTACATCTATTTGCTTATCGTGTGGCATGTGTGCGCTTACGATAATATAGACTTTGCACTGATATTATATAATCCATTTTCGTTTGAAATGCAAATTAGTTTTTCGTATTTTTTGAAATAAATTCTCTTATGGCTGATTTTTTAATGGCTATAATGGCTAGATAAAAGTTATCTAGGAAATAATTATGATGCTGTCGCGTCAGCATGTTTGTATAACACAGTGACAGTAACAATTTTATTCCTCAGATACATCATTTATCTTACTATTGAAATTGAAAAATCAACCCTTACTAAAATTTATTAGAATAATGAAAACTAAACATCTGCACATAATATAGTCAACATTTTTAATAAACCTTTTAATACACACGAATAAATTGGCCCTGTTAGACCCCGTCTGACCACTATACCCTATGATGCGATCGACAATATAGTAATATTTACTCATGTATTGTATTAAAAGACAATATAAAGCCCCTTTTTATAAAGTACGGCCATATATAGGGCCTTATTCATTCCATTTGGACCTCACAATCTTATTTCCGCAAAGCAATTAAAATTAACCTCTATGGTATGGTGAAGAAGGCTTTACTTCCAACCTTCCTTCCTTATTTATTGAATTTACTGCAGACAACCGTATACCCGCCACCTTTGTGCCTTGCGCTTATTACATTAACCCAGAAAGTAAGGATGTCACCCACCACATTTCAAATCTCCGTCAATCATATTTTCAAAGGTATCTGGCTCCCTTTCTTCGTGTGTAAAGTTCTTGGTTGTCAACAAAACTGTTGCTGGTCATTCATCTCCATAAAAATCCATTCAATCATTCAATGGATTTTTATTCAGAACTTCTCCCTACGTAATCGGGTAGATGTCAACTCAGTACAGTTATTGCATTTCCCAATGTGAACTTAGGTGGTGATGAACATAAGGATATATATACATTCTTAGGAGCGCCCTGTCGGGCATAGCAAAACAAAAAATAGAAGGAGAGCTGTTTACAATTTTTAAACTAGTTTTTTAGATGTCCAGCTAAGGTTGCGAATGCGAGCTCAATAATATACCGCAGCCTCGACTCGGAACAGGACTAGCAACGAGGCGGTTTTTGGTCAGTTACACTTACAGTCTGAGATTCCTCTTTGCCCAACCCAAGACATTTGATGATTTCCTTCCTGCCAAAAAGACTTACGAAATCGAAATTAATTTATTCAGATTGGTGTAAGCGGGAAAATGTTTTACAACAATCACCTTGGGCTACACGATAACGTATCTGCGACCATTACACGCTTTAAAGAACCGCGAGAGAGCGTGGATAGTCCGATAATGGAATGGTGTTTTGCCGATAGGTGATGTGAAAATGGCAACGTGTATTTGCAAACACTTCTTAATTTCGGCACTTTTAGTTACATTTTTATCTATAGTATCCATACTTACTTAATATAAATAAAGCTGAGGATTAGTTTTTTGTTTAAACGTGCTCAGTGATCTCAGACACTACTGACTCGAATTGAACCCTTTTTGCGTTGGATAGGCATCTGAGGATGCTATACAACATCGACCATGCTACGACTTTTGCGGCCCAAATAGCGGGATCTTTAGCTCGTTCAATATAGTAATGACTGATGCCATGTTTTATTAACAGCTAGTGTTTTGTTTGTTTATTTTTGAAAAAACGTTGCCCCACATTAGGATTTTCTCCTGTGTCGTGGGTGCTGTTACAAACTTACAATTTCACATACACAACACCCAGACCAGGAACAACAATTTGTGGATCACACAAAGAGTTGTTCCGTGCGGGAATCGAACCCGCGGCACGTTGCACGGCAGCCAGTTGCCCAGCCACCGCACCAACCGTGCGGATAACACTGAGACTGTTCTATCATGATTTTTTCTTCGCCCTCCAACACAAAGCCTTAAAGTAGGCCCTATATTTGATCAAATTAGTTCCGCGCCTTACTAAAACTACATTGGTAAATTTATTAGTTACGATGTACTAGAAGGCGCTTTGATGATATTATTTATTACTAGCTGCCTTGACAGATTCTATTTTCTTTTTTCTCTCAAACACCTTCGCGGACGGCATAAAGAGCAACCTTCGTTGAATGAGTTCAGTGTCACGCTCAAGGTCTTTCAGAACAGGTAGTGACGTTGAAGAGGCTGCCTGGCAAAATGCCAGTGGCCATCTCTATACCTCATACAGTTATCAACCTTACCCTACACTGATAAAGTTTAAAATTAAATCATAAAGTTTAGTGACCGAGTTTTTCTGGTTAATGATCTAGATTCAAGCGATACATGATTTGTTGGTCATCTAGACGCGAGGTTGTCTACTATTTTCTGATACAACCGATTGTGTTTAGCGCTGACTCATAATTTATTATTGCTTTGTGTGTGTGCGTTCTTTTTATAGATGGTCACATAGCATACGTCATGATATGGCTTGATGGCTTTGTTTAATTATCTATATCTATACTAATATTATAAAGAGGTAAAATCTGTAAGTTTGTATGTAGGGGGTAATCTTTGGAGCCGCTGGTCGGATTGCCAAAATTCTTTCACTGGTAGATAGCTACAATGTTCCTGAGTGCTATAGGCTATAAAACATCACGCTACGATTATATGGGGCCGAGCAGCGGAACAGCGAGCAGAGAAACAGCGCGGGAATAGCTAGTATGGTCTTTGTTGTCTTTTACAAGTAAGGATGGTCCGGATCAGCCGGGGTTGCGGGGCTAGCGCAGCCTCGGCCTAAAGCAGGAGAAGGAACGGGCGGTTTTTTTAGTCAGTAAGAATCTGATACACCCTCTCGCCTTACACTCGGCGAGAGAAGTCATTTGAAGATTTTCCCCTCACAGAAAAGGTTGGATAATTACGTCATTAACTAGAGATCTAATAGTGGTCGATTAAGCACTAGTTTCATTTATAATTAGTAAAAACCTTTTACAATTTTAGCAGCTTGTATAATTTTACATTCATTGATAAAAAATCTCGCGATTTGATATTACATAATAATACATGGCACGTTATGCTACTAACTTTTTCTCTTCGCTGGTTGGATTTTAACTGCGCGATGTTCTCAATTCGCGAAATCCCATTTCTTACAGTCTTTATATAACTTTATATTTCTCTATTCATAATTTTTTTTATGAACAGAGAAATAATTGATTTCTATAAATTACATTGTATGTCAATTTTAAAACAATATTTTAAAACGAATGAAAATACATTTCATAATGAAAATATGTCTCAGCCATTCTCTTTAATAACATAATGCAACAAAGTGATTAGTACTCATGTTACATAATATTGTTATAATGAAGTAAACAATTAAAATAAAGTAATTGTTCAGTACACAAACACATGCCAACGGAATGTTTATTTAAAAAACGTAAACACGCGATGTCTGCATGGACGGCTAGACTTATTTCCAGAATAGTCGATCAGCTATGTGGAAAACTTGAAAATTTAGTTTTTCTCTTTGATTTTAAATAGTGCGATATTATAACGGAGGTCGATGGCATTTAGATGAGTCAAGGATTGATTTTTTATTAATATTTACATTTACTGTTTTAGTCATCAGTGAGAGGTAATCACGAATGACGACATAATTTTAATAATTTATATGTCACTTCTCATCAGCAACTCATGATAAGACAGCAGGGCTGGTCCTAAAGCTTAGCGTACCATCACGATGCCCCCATCATCGCCAAAACGAGCCAAAGCGTAAGACTTAAAGGGCGCCATTTTTATTTTTAGCCCCCACCTATGTATGTTATAGGACCATCACTGTGCGACAGTGTATTGCTGGTCCACGGAAACGGGAATATGGTGCGGTTGAAATACCGTGGTACAACCTGTATATGATATATATCTCATCCACAGACCATCTACACTAATATTATAAAGAGGTAAAATTTGTAAGTTTGTATGTAGGGGGTACCTAATCTTTGGAACCGCTGGTTGGATTGCGAAAATTCTTTCACTGATAGGTAGCTACAATGTTCCTGAGTGCTATAGGCTGTAAAACATCACGCTACGATCAAATGGAACAGATCAGCGCGTGAAACCGCGCGAGAGTAGCTAGTCCGTAATAAATGTACCGCACGTAATATGTAACTAGTCAAAGTCTGACTCTCCCTGTGACCCCATTCAGGAACGGGAGAAGTCGCTGATGAATTCCCTTATCAAAAAATCCATGACATAGCAGTCTATTGCCTGTCTATGAGGGCACATTAGAGTGATTGTCATATTCTCCAGTCTCCGCTAAGCCGACCGGTTAAGTATTGATATGAATGTAATGTAATGTAAAAAACGATATTGGATTAGGATACTATTGATTATAATTTTCTAAGTTAAATACGTAAGTTCATAAATGTTTTGGAGTTCGTTACCCGATAGACTTGGATGGCAGTTTTATAGGTCAATTTTGTGCTAAGTAATATAAATTTCTGTTATGTCTACATTTCGCTTATCATAGATATTAAAAATTGAAATATATTTTTTTACCCAATTCCTAACCCTGGGATTTTACGTTTTCTAAGCCTGGAAATAAAATTACAAAATATACGTTGTAGTTAATTTTTAAAAACATCTCGACATAAATATTTTTTATGTCTAGCCTTCAGGCCGTATTTATTACGCTGTTTTTCAGAAACTAAGCTGTGTCTAAAAGTTATTTTCCTTCAGCTATAAATTCATGTGTCCCCTTTCTCTAATGCGTTCGAATCTCTTTAAGTATTTCAGTTCTCGCCTCGTATTTTATCCGACTTTCAAAGAATTGGGGTAATGTTTTTACTTCGAAAATGTGTGTTATGATTTTTAATTTTATGGTGTACTCACTATAGGTTTCACCCGCTGCTCGGCTCCATTCAATCGTAGCGTGATCTTTTATAGCCTATATCACTCAGGAATATTGTAGCTATCTATCAGTGAAAGGTTTTGGAAATCCGAAAAGCGGTTCCAAAGATTATCCCCTACATACAAACTTTCAAATTTTACCTCTTTATAATATTAGTATAGATTTACAAGACTCGTAATGTAATGTGCTATTTTTTTTTTTTTTACTGACCGGCTTAATTACAACCCGTGTTCTTCATAGATATTTTTGTGATGTTTAAACTTTAAACTGTTTTTAATACAATGTATTCTCCCGTACGAGTCATAGCTATTAAAACAACACGATAGAATTTACCCGACCCGGGAATCGAACATGAGGCTTTAGTTTAATTATAACACTGAAACATCTATTCAAGATTATAAATAAACAGTGTGGGTTTTGCATGTGAGAGGCAATCTCGGAAACTACTGAACTGAACTCGATGTTTTCGTTGAAATTATTTCTGTAATTTTATTTTTATGACGCCAGCCAGCCTATTTTGAGGCTTGAAGTGTTTATTGAAGAAGGTTTAGCTATAAAATTGCTATGACTGTTATTTTTAAAACTAAATTATTTTGTCTTTACAAATGAGAGCACTGCCGCTTGTCCGTTGGGTTGTTTAATTTAAACTCTAGTCTATTTTCGAAAAACGTTGTCGCTTTCAAACTACTTTTGTTGTATTGGATCATAATTCCATGTAATAAAGCGAACATCTTAAAATGTCCTAATTGTCTTCATTCTCGGTGAGCTGATTTTGCGCCTAGTGGACAGCGGCTTGGGATGCTTCCTCAGCCATAAAAAAAATAAGCAAACTAATCATTAATAAAAAAATCAGAACATTTTTATATTATTTTTTTTTTTTAAAAAGGAATTCTGACTTATTACCCTGAAAAATTGTGAAGCTAGTTGATTGTTGGTGTTTTTTTATAGTTTAAGAACCTAGGAAACCTATGTAAAATATATAAATTATATGAGTTGTTTATGCACTATAAATACTAATAAATTATTTTATTATATCCATTGTGCAAAACATACTATTATTGAGAGCCTAGTCTCGACATTTTTAATTGGTATTTCCTCGATTTGCATTAGTCAGTGCCATATGCGTACTAAAATAACAATATACTTCCGACGGTACTTATATTTATCGCAAATACGACGCAGTTCTTCTATTCCGTTCAAAATTCATTCAATTATTTCCTGTGTTAACACTTTTTGTGACGTCATAGCTTTAGATGGCCAAATTGTACAGATATGGTGAAATCACTTGTTAGACAGCACCTATTATTAAAATATTTTTTTATACCGTATAGTTCGGCAAACGAGTAGACGCACAACGCAGAGTTGGACAACCGAAACACCAAATTACTTACGAGTGCGTTGAAAGGCCTTGTAAGGATAAGGGTTTTAAATATTTTAGGATTGGGAAAGGATGGGGAAGGGGAGGGATTGGGCCTCCTGTAACCTCACACGGCGATAAACAATGCTGTTGTTGTTCCACGTCAGTTTTCTGTGAGGCCGTGGTATCACTCCGGTCGAAACGACCCATTCGTGCCGAAGCTTTGCACACTTGTACTTATTTAATATTCTTCACACAAAGCAGTCCGAATGCGGACTTAATGTCTTATGGCATTCTCTAACAGTCAACTATAGGGGAGGTACTGCAGAGAAATAATTTAAAATTTTCTCTCATTTCTACCATTTAAATGTGGGATACTGGGATAGCCAGCTTTGGCACCGAGATTACCATCCCCCCATCCAGAGGCTTTAAGACTCTTTTGGAATGTTACCTCATAAAATTATTATATATAAAAATGGAGTTTCAGAAGTGTTAATTAGGCACTTATGTGGTTTGGCATAGTAACAAATAGGTGGTTCAATAAATAATAAAATCAATCATTACCTTTCAAATTATATCGCCCGGCGACGAGAATGCATCGCGGACGTTTGGCAAAATGATTCATACTAAAATACAATTAAATTCATAGCGCACGAGGACATACGACTTTGAACTTTATAAACATACAAATAAATGTCACATTGCAGGTTAAAATTTGTATTGTTTTTATTTGTTCTTGATATTTTATTCTTGTTTAGATTTTTTATATATAGAATGGTTTTTGTAGTGGCGTTGTGCCAAATTAGTGGCCACTTTGCCAGTACGCTGTTTACCACCGTAGCGAATGGCCGCTACGTTTGAAATTAAACCTTTTTTCAAAATTTTGTTGTAAAGTAAAAAGAGATTAAATGCCAAAAGTATGGAAGAAGGAAGAAAACGCAGTTCTGAAGTATGACATTGTGATAAATTGGCTCTTAAAGTATTAGTCGAAGAGTTTCCTAACATTTGTAATTAAGTGGCTGTAACAAAACTGAACTTCGAGTGCGAATAACTATGACCCTTAGCCAAAGTTAATAAATGTCAAATTGGAATTGACTAGCAGTGCAGTTGTGACATAGTGACAATGTGTGACACTTGTGACAGGTTCACGTTGCCCGGCCGAGGTGACGCTGTGGTGGAGCTATGGAGGTCGAAAATGGAGGAAGGTGTGCTGGCACCAGCGCACTTCTTGGACCACTGGAGGGTCACTGTCCCCAGGATATACTCTCCACAACCTAACAGGACTTGTTTAGGTGAGTTTTTGAACATAACAATTAGAGTTTTTTAACTATATTGTAGACATTGAACTATCGTTGACCTACGCACAATGGACATACGCACATGGACTTGGTTTCGCTCTTGGCAGAGCGGTCGTGGTCACGTAGAGGCATCCACATCGGTGGTAGAGGCGGACACAGCTCTCCGCACGATCTCCCGCCATCTCTTCCTGTTGGCAGACTGTCTGGTGCAGTCAGATACACGCGATCCTACTGCCGATTTAACCTGGTCGGTCCAACGCAACTAAGTTTACCAAAGTAATAATGATCACAGACGAAAAGGTTTTTTAAAGGATCAAATAACCTAAAGTGTGAAGCAGTGAGTTCTAAGGCCATTTCAATTCTGACTTCTAGATTGACAGAAACAATGCATGTACTTCCAAATGAACATGCGATTAAAAATTAAATTATAAAAATCAAATTATGTTTGGGAAGCGTGGGAGAGCCACGAACTTGGGCATCAACGAGTCTGCTCAATTGGAGTGATGCCTCACAGCCGTCATGAAGCAATGCTTGTGTTGTTTCTGGACCTTTTCGGGGGCAAGGTCCTCGAGTAAACCTGGGCATCGGGAATTAGGTTCCCTCAATATCTATAATACCTAAAACACTTACTTGCAATTACTCCTCATTAGCCTATGGGTGGTACGGGTTATTTACTATCAGGGGATCCGTAAAGATAAGATTCATATACTGAAGAGGCTTATGTGCAGCCTGTGTGGGTGGACGGACATAACCCTTTATAATATCATCATCACCAGCTTAAGTAACATTAAATTTATCTACACTAATATTATAAAGAGGTAAAATTTGTAAGCTTGTATGTAGGGGGTAATCTTTGGAACCGCTGGTCGGATTGTCAAAATTCTTTCACTGGTAGATAGCTACAATGTTTCCGAGTGCTATAGGCTATAAAACATCACGCTACGATTAAATGGAGCCGAGCAGCGGGTGAAACCGCACAAGAGTAGCTAGCAGCAGATACCTGTCACAGGAACAATAGAAAATTCTAGAATGTTTCCCTTTTATGTCTGGACATTTATTTCTCTTCGAACATGTTTACCTACATGAGTCGACAATTTCGGCTCGAGTAAACAACGTTATTTTATTCAAACTTGCGGAAAATGTAATGGTCCAGCTGTTATAATTCCTTGTTCCTAACATTTGGCAAAATTTTGTTTTTCTCGGTGTTATAGATTAACAGGCTATATTACCATTTAGACAAATTAAACGCCATTTCGAATTGTTTAAACCATTGTATTAAAAAATAATGATATTGTGTTCATTGTCTGTCTTTCAATTTGTACCGTCTAATCTTTGTATTGGCTGAGCCGATTTTAACCGAATTTTCGTGGTAGAATATAGAATGCAGATGTAATAAGAAGTAAATTGCTACTCTCGTTTTAGAAAAAACTTTTTTATTTCATGAAAGAATGAATAGTTTAGCGCAATAACGATAGTAAACTTTTATTATGAACTAGTAAGCGATAAACAAATAATAATGTCTGTCAACTCGAGATTGACAAAAACAGATAACATAGAAAACCTTTCAGAATAAAGAGATTTATCCTGTAAATCAGATAATACTTGATATAGATAAGTACAAATGATTTGTATTTATTTCATTTGGGTATTTCTCCGTTATTGCGGAGCATGTCCATGGACGGCGCTGATTGCTTATCCAGGAAATGAGTATGCCCAACGCCGATTTACCACATAAAAAATAGTTTGCGCTACAATTTATTTGTTTTGATACATATTTGATATTTATTTCTGTAACAAAGTTCCTTTTTTTATGTAAACGATCGACAAACGAGCAGACGGATTACCTGATGGTAAGCAATCAGCGCCGCCCATGGACACTCGCAACGGAATAGTTTCGAGTGCGTTGCCAACCTTTTAGGGATTTGGAGATTTAGGGATTGGGGAGAAGAAGGATTGGGCCTCCGGTAACCTCCTTAAAATCTGCTCAGCCGTTTACATGTAACAGAATCATGAAATTTTGGCTTCGACCACTAACCCTTCTGCAGGATGTGGTGATTATGCAGTCATCTTTTGTACAGAAGGTCTATACACCACCAGTGGTGTTTTCTCTGTTCCCTTTCGTTTTAAGGACTCAGGATAAGCTATTTAGTATCGTACAATAAACCGTGACAGTTTGTGAGCGTACTTACATACACACGTAGATATATTTCTTGCTGATTTACGCCAAAAATTACTGAATGGATCTGAATGAAACTTGGCACAATGATAGGTCATAATATTGTTTATACTTTTCAGTACTTTATAAGAGACTGATCGCTGTGTTTGTTTCCGCATTTCTTCTCAGGGTAGTCCGTTAAGAAATGCTGGCTTCATCTATTATTTATATTATTGACGTGTAAAATAGTTGTTTCTAGATTATTCACAAATAAAATCTTTCATTCAATTCGTAGTCTGGAATAAAATATAGGCCACTTATTGTCCTAGTCCTACGAGTGAGGCTAATACGGTAGTTTCCAACTAGTTACATTCAATACGTTTATCCTAATGTCAAAAACGATACTTTTCTATGAAGTTTGAATGAAAAACTGAATTATGACGTCATATACTTTTGCGTCAAATAGCGTACTTATTTCTTAAAAATATCTAAAATGTAGTGTATCAATCGATCGATGAATAAAAGTACCTATCTATATTTATTTTTCGATATTTCATTGTATTGAAACGTCGAATTAATTTATTTTTGACCTATGAAACTACCCAATTGCAGTAGCTAGTTTTTGAATAGTTAATATCGTGAGACATATTAAATTGATTGGAAATAAAGACTTACTCATATGAATTAACTGTGAAAAGCTCGACTTGTTTCAAGTCACAACGGGACTCTTATTCATGAGCAGCGTGCCGTCCCTAGTTTACAAACATATGTATACCTAGTACAGCAAGGTAGATACAGCTACACAGTATAGAATACTTCTACTTTCTTACACCAGTACGCTGTAAATGTCAAAGGGTTGTCTGCAGCCATTAGTTGCATGGTTTCGTTGCATGTTGCTTAGAGCTTTAACTAGTAACAACCTTTAAATCGATACAATGTTGCAATGACTAGCATTACTTTTTCCATCCATAGTCATAAATTCTACCAATTTTTTTAAAAGACGTGTCCAATGAATCCCTTTTTATGTACTAGCTTTGCCCGGGACTCCGTTGGCGTGGAATAGTGGAATAGTGACTTCCTGCAGATTTTTGGTGTCAAAACTATCCTATATCCTTTCCCGAGTTTCAAACTAAGTCTGTACCAAATTTCACAGATATCGGTTCAGTAGTTTAGGCGTGAAGAAAAGACAGACTGACAGACAGACAGAGTTACTTTCGTATTTATTATATTAGTTTGGAATGTTGCTATTAAATTTATTTTTCTCATACTTAAAAATGTTAACGTTCTTTTCCGTATATTAACGAAATTAGGGCTGAAAAATAATAATAATTATGTTTACATAATTTTTATTTTGGCTTTTACGAAAACAATTGGTAAACTAATTTAATTATAGGAGTTTGTGGTCTCTACATCACACAGTAATGTACTACCTAATTCGTAAATTTTAATTATATGTATCGTCAAAGTATTTGCCGTAAGAAATGAAAATATACGCGTCCAATTTATTTAACCAATCTAAAGCCGGATATTAGTTTAAAATTAATTAAGTAATTATTAATTGTGATATGTTTATGAAATTGAAAATTATCCTGTACCTAAAAGCGTTCTTCCTTCCGCGGGTCTGCGGTTTACAACTCGTAAAAAGGCAGTTTATTTCATGCTCACCTTGTTACCTTAATGCGGTCAGCGGTCGTTGACCTATAACAGGCAAATAGTACAGGTAGGAAGGTGCATCTATAAATACTCGTAGGTACCTACTTTAAAAGCAGCAACTACGTTGGTAAACTTTATACAAATAAACATACCTACTGAGCAATCAGTTGTTGAACTTTATTTCCCGGTCTGATAAGTTCGGGAAAAAGTAGGTACGGTACGGTCCAAATGTACAATAATTCGCAACCAGCTGAACTCGCACCATTGTTCGAAATGCCAATTATTGCAAACTGACTCTTATTCCAGGGTCTAGTATGTTTTCTTACCTATGTTAGCTGAGGATTTACTCTCAACAGTTTTCAGGGGGCAGTTTCTTAAGGTAGTTAGACACGTAGACCGCAGTTGCGGCCCAACAGGGCCGATGTTTAGCCGGAGTTGCTGGACAAGCGAAATAAGGTACCGCGGCCTCCCTTTCGCCTCATTCTAGGCTAGAGAAGTGAGAAGTCAATAGATAATTTCTGTCTTTGAAAAAAAAATATAATAAATAAATCAAAAAAGTATAATTGCATCTTGACATGACTAACCCCCAAACCCGGAATTAAAAGTGGAAGGATTGTTCCGTGTGAGAGTCGACTTTACACAGCAGCCCGTTGTCCAGCCTCTGCGCCAATCGTGTAGTCAAAATCGTGTTTACAGTTTTAGTTATTAGTTTATACTATAGTACTACATAGTGAAAAGAAGTACGTATATTCTTGTATCGAGTACGTACTTAGCCAAATGTTGTAATAATTTACTTGAACGATTCTAGCTCAAGTCCACCACATTCTAACTATCGTTTAGTTTACACACAGGTGGAATATTCATTGCAACATATTTTACACTATTTTGTACCGGGATATTAGATGCATAAATGTTAAATATGACACACATTTCTTGCCAATAGCGGCAAACCGGTATTTTGATCACCACGTGCTACTAATTCGCCAAGCATTCAGTTTGTCCAATCGCTGTCGCTTTAAAAAATTGAACGTCCAATGGGGTAACAGCTAATTTCCTATTGGTCAAAAATATTAGACGTCCACATTGATGACATCTAGTGAGGAAAAAAAACGATAGCCCAGTATTATGGTTGAGTTCTACACTGCCCACAATTCTGAAATGAGTATACTGCTATTAGTGCCAGGACCCTGAATTGTTTTATTTATGGCAATTTTTGTTTTTTTAATTGACCGCTAGAGGCGCTCTAATATTTAACATACAGACGATAGTATTGACAGATGCTTTGCTAGAGGTATAAAACCTAAAAGACGCGCGACCATTCGCTCGGCGAAGTAATCGGTTGGGGTAATGTACGCATACAAAATCTGTTAGTTCTCTATATTCGAGGAATGTGTTGAATTCAGACTAGATATTATTATGCACGGCTCGAGGTCAATGCTCTCACTGAATTTATGAAGCTAATTGCTTCGAATGTAGGTACAGTCGACCCACATCGTTGAAACATTTGTTTACTAACGCCGCTTATTTTTAATTTAATGGAGAAAATGTAATTTTGAAATTGCTTTCGTACTGTAGCGTAGGTTTTAAATCTTCTATAATATAAAACGTGTTAGTAAGCGCACAACTCAAAAACCACTAGATTTCTGTTTTCTTATTTTTCTGAGACGGGTTTTTTGAAAGATAATTTGAGAGAAGTAGATAGGATAATACAAAAATCCCTTAGAACCAGGGGCGTACCGCTAGACAATATAAACAGTAACATTGGAACTTACACTTACCTGATAAAAAATATCTTTCAACAATCAGCCTATACAACACCAACTACAAAGTTCACCAAAAAATAGCTTGTTTCCAGACTGGTCTTTCGATGAGGACTTAGCAGCCAAACTGCTTATCCAACCTTTGGAGCAGTTCGTTTGGGGCAACAGCGATGGATCTCAGCCGCCGTTACCACGACGGTCTACCCTCTGTGGTCGTGTGTTCAAGCAGGGCGACCCAGCATACAGCTGTAGGGAATGCGGTTAGTATTTATTTCACAAACTTTTTTAGACAAGTCTTAAGGTATTTATTTAACTTCATGCACAAAGTACAATAAGGCTAAATGTCTACAGGCATTCTCGCTAGCCAACCTTTGGGAGTAGCAGCAAGAAGGTACACCTACTGGAAAAGAAGTTGGAAACCAACAAAAGAAGCTTAGCTCTCTGTAGCTTTTTTGTGAGCTAAAGGAAAGCTAAGCATCTTTTAGGGGGTATTCTTAAACCTCCAAAAGGCTGACATCGCATTCATAACTTTTCTGGTGATCTGAGTGTGCATAGGCGGCTTGCTTTTCATCAGCTAATCTGTCTACTCGTTTGCCGTCCAATCATAAAGAAACAACTATAATATCTTTTGTGCTTCAACTTCTTATCGAGCAACTTTGACTTTGGCCCTCAAAAAAAGCCGGTTGGGAAACTATAGGTATGGAACAATCCGGCTGCTAATTGCCACCCTGGCTGTGTTTGATTCCATTGTGAAAATTTTAGAAGTTCTGAACTTGAATACAATTTTTTCTCGAAGCCACCTGTTTCCAGAACCTAAAGTTAATTTTAAGGTTAAAACTATAAGTAGTTAGGAGATAAACTTTATTTTTAAATCAAACATTTTCGCACTAGTGTTTAGAAATTATAGTATGGAACATTTGTTTTTGTTATTTAAAATAAGTACTTACTATAAATGAGGCATCTTTGTCGATCACACAAAGACATTTTCCGTGCGAGAAACGGCCACCACGCCAGCCGTGCTCTTCACATTAAAAATGTTTTTAAAATTATCATCGTTCTATCGTATTTATTTTCCCAGGCATGGACAACACATGTGTGTTGTGCGTGGAGTGTTTCAAGGTGTCTGCCCACCGGCACCATAAGTACAAGATGGGTCAGTCCAGCGGCGGGGGTTGCTGCGATTGTGGTGACACTGAAGCTTGGAAGAGGGATCCATTCTGCGAGTTACATGCGGTAACTATTTACATACATTTTAGTTCTTACTTTCTTACTAATATTATAATTATGCGAAAATTACGATGTTTAGATGTTTGTTATTCAATCACGCCAAAACGTCTTGACGGATCTCGATGAAATTTGGCACAGGCATAGCATATACTCCGGAATAGAACATAGGCTACTTTTTACCAACATACCACGCGGGCGAAGCCGCGGGTGGAAGCTAGTACTTATTTATTCTATCCTAGCGACGATGCCCCGGCTTTTTAATGGATTTAATTACATATAAATATAAACCTTCCTTATTAATCACTCTTTAAAAAACCGCATCAAAATCCGTTGCGTATTTGTGAAGATTTAAGCATACATAGGAATATAGGGACAGAGGAAGCGAATTTGTTTTGTGGTGCTATGTAGTGGTGGTTATAAATTATAAAATATATTTAAGTGTCCCAAAATAGTAACAAAACTTTTCTAGTAACATATATTTCTTTCTCAGGCTTCAGAGAATGACAATCAAGAGGAAGCTACAATCAAACCGGAGGTGGTGGAACGCATGAAGATAGTGGCTTCGGTCTGTCTCACCTACTGCCTGCGACTGCTGACTCACGACCACGCTCCTGGTTTACCCAATGATCTCAGGTAAGTGTCACCATTATCATCACGACCTGACGGATTACTTGGTGGTAAACAATCAGCGCCGTCCATGGGCACCCGCAACAACGTTGCGGAGAACGTTGCCGACGTTTTGGGGATTAGGGATTTGGAGATTTAGAGATTAGGGGAGGGTTGGGTCTCCGGTAATCTCTCTCCAGGCCATACACAACGCCGTGGTTGTTATGTCGGTTCTCTATGAGGCCACGGTATCACTTCAGTCGAGCCGACCCATTCGTGTTAAAGCGTAGGTCTCCCACAATTAAATTGTACGTATTACCGATAGTGAAGCAATGTTTTTCTAAAAACAAAAGATAAAAATAATTAATGTTTTTATGAACGCTTCGTTGTAATGAAATGAGTCGTTATAATACAAAGAATAGTACGTTAACTCCTTCCAGGTTGAAAGATGCGGAGCGCGATCTGCTGCAGATACTTGACCAACCAGACTGCTACTGCACAGTCCTCTACAACGACGAGACCCACACATTTGACCAGGTACTGGATAATTACAACAGATTTCTTGTGTATGTAGGTAACTGTACAAATTATTTAATTTATTTACATCTTAAAACTAAACTTACAAACTAACAAAATTACAATTAATAATACTATATACATATACCTACACACATTTATATACATATTTACATTTTGTATACAATACTTATGTATAATACCTAATACATAATACTTCCTTACCAGTTGGTCGACAAAAATTTCCTTCGATAGTCGATAATACAAAAACTGTCGACTGGACCCTCACCACTAATCACCAATATAGTTATAACTATCCCTAACTATTGATGATCGCTTGCCGATGCGCCCGCACACACCTGTGGAACCAGTCTTGCCGAGACATTGCTAAGACGCGCATTTATTGTAATTCTTCCGCTATCCTAACGCTGTGATAATTACGCAATTTCTGTTTTCTACTTCTTTCTTATTATTAGTATTGACTATTTCTACCACTATCTCTGTGCTGTGCTTGTGTATGTGCTTGAACTGTCCTACTGTGCCTTCTGTAACTCGTGTGTGCCGGATCGGCCAAATAAACCTGGTGATACGTGAGTCGAACTTTTATTTACACCACGGAACACCCGACACCGTCAACACACACATCAACCCAACCAAATGTATGTTAGAACGGCAAAGAAGCTGATGGATTACTTGATGGTAAGCAATCGGTGCCGCCCCTGAACACCCGCAACACCAAAGCAGTAACGAGTGTGTTGCCTGCCTTTTGAGGATAAGCGGTGCGGATATTTAAGGATTGGGAAGGGATAAAGGCAGGGGAAGTATTGGGCCTCCGGTAACCTCACTCGGCGAAACAAAACGCTGTGGTCGTTTCACGCCGGTTTTCTGTGGTATCACTGCTGAACAAAGGCCTACCCTTAGTTCCGCTCGAAATTTTTTATTGGACACTATTTTTTACGAGGGGATCTTAGTTTTTTTGTCAGGTGTATTTTTTTTTTTTTAATCTAATATTTTCCAATTTCCTCTTTCAGGTCATAACTACTCTTGTAAGAGTAACGAAATGTAACCAAAGAGATTCCCTGGAACTCGTGAGTTTGATAGACCGCGAGGGTCGAGCGCTGGTCAAGTGCAACTCGTTCCAGGTCTGCGATAAGCTGAAGACGGATATCGAAATGTAAGTGTTGCCTTATATGATATTTTTTTTTGCATTAAAAAACCTCATTTTACAAGGATCAGCCAAATTTTTTTAGTAAAATTGTCCTTTTTTTATCAATTTTATGCGATATTGATAATATAAATCGTGTACAAACACACTGTTATATACTTCTTTCTGACACTAAAATTAAAAGATAGTCCTGGTCTTAATCTTAGTTTATTTGAGTTTTATTTTTATTTAGTTTAGTTTTATATATTTAGGTTTTTAATGTTATTAGTGTCTTCTGGTCTCGTCAGAAACTCGGCTTATTCCAATTTGACAATTATGTCTTACTTTAATATCTAATGATTTTAAATTCGAATGTTAAATATCATTTTTTTTAACCTTAAAATAATTGCAAATTTTGCTGGTCTTTGAAAAATAAAATTGAAACGAGAACTGTTTTATAAAAGATTTTTTTTCTGTTTTATTATTAATTTGTGATTTGTGAATTAATCAAGTCACTTTACAAATATATTTGCAAAATATCCATGTAACATATGATTTTTAATTCTTTAAATTTTGATAACAAAATTTTTATTATTATTATTAACGCTTTTCACCAATAACCACGTTCAGTATCATATACACGGTGATCGTTTGGTTTATTATTTCATCATTGGCAATTTTTTTTAAATCATTTGTTTATTTATTTACAATGAATTGGAACAATTATATTCTTTCGAAAAGTGAAAATTATACGCACATTTTTATTTATTTTTGTAGTTTTTTTTTCAAATTATATCCGAATATATACCTACAGGTGACTTTTTACTAAAGTATAATCTCTTACGGTGGTGTACAAATAGTAATTTTCAATCGTTTTTGTTGAAAATAGAGATAATAATAAACCCTGAATCATTGCTTAACCCCATATACATATGGTTACTAAAAAACTTAAAAAATGTATAGTGCTTTAATCATCTACTACCGAGTTCATTTGCTGAACCAATACACCGTTTGCATAATTCGAATACAATAGCCTCCTATACTTTTTAACAAGTAAGTGTCCACAAAGGAACTTGGAACTTGTAACCACTCATACATAAGTAAAAGTATCAAAATAACCTGTTCTCTAACCACACAGAAGATTATACTTATGATAAAATGAAGTCACCCTGTATACAGACAGGGGTTTAATAATTTGCAAAGACTAACGGAAGCGTATTGTTTTCTTTTTTCAAATTATCAGTGTAGCTTTGTCGCTTTATGAGTACCACCCAGTCGCTCCCCCGGGAGCGAATATAGACGAACTAATAGTAGAAGCAATGATTATTAACATGCTACCGGCGTTGCGTAACGAGAGTCTAAAGTAAGTCATTCAATATTTAATAAGATAGTAACACTGACTGCAATATGTTGCTGCATTCATGTTGCATGCCGCGTTGCGCAACGACGTCGCTTTGTTATGAGCATTCTTTGCTTTTTACAAACACTTTTATACAATTTATTTTTTATTATTGTTATAAGGCAGTTCAGTGTGTATTATAATTATAGTTCAATGTTAGTGTGTAGTTTTGATACTTTTCTACACCTGTGTAGGTACGTTCTTGTTGAGTTTTTTTTTGTTTATTTTGCTATCTTTCAGTGTAGTTGTATTACGTGTAGGATGTATAGAGATGTTAGGTGAGGCAGTAAATAAATAACGTTTCCTCAAACTATTTTGGTTTCTATGGTTTTCTCTGAATATCTCTTTCTATCATTACTTGCTTAGATGTAGTTTTTGTAAGTTAACAACTAGTTACATATGGTTCTCTTCTAAAGCCGATTATATTATTATTCCTCTAATGGTTTGAATGAACTAGGTCTACTCCTCCTGTTCTGAGCCAAATGGTTTTCTAGCGTTTGTCGCCAGAGAAAATAGAAAAGTCAATAAATGGGAATGACACTGACATATATGTCAAAGTTTACGTCAATCCCATTTTAGACTCTGTAGACAAGCTCTTAAGATTCCATTTGGCTTCTGGTAGTCAAATACTCGTTTTACAGTCAGTGTCAAATAAAAGTGTAGGGATATTAAGGGCAGTCAATGTATAGTAGATATTCAAAGACGGTTACGTCTTTAAATTTGACTACGCTGAATGTCCCTCTATATTTGAGGCTGACTGTACAGTATTGGATTATAGATTTTCCTGGGATATTAATAAATAATAATAATTATGGTTATCTTTTATAACGATTTCCTATATATTACAAAATATCATTACTTAATATCGATGTCTATTTATGAATTAGGCCTATAGTTAAAGAAAACACTTAACAATTCATAGCTAAAATACTAGATACTTTTTGCTTTACCTTCATCTGCGTTACTTCTGATAGCGTTTTAATAAAATTAAGAACCTTCATTATTTTGCTGTTATAAGGAGAAAAGACGCATTTAACGCATCAAAATATGATAAAGATATCATCAAAACAAAAAAAAATAATTTCTTCTTCATTCATTATTTCTAGTTTCTTAATTACACAACAAAATTGTTCAATATCTGTTTATTTTGATGGTTTGGTTTTTTTGTCTATTGGAAATATGTGGATGCGTCTTTCTTCCTTTACACATCATTTTTTAACGACGCCTTTGCTTAGTTTCAACCTTAATGAATTGTAATAAAGTCAAATGAAGCGTCGTATGGAAATGGCTGATCTATCGCAATATGATCTCATTTTCCCCTTCATCATCAATTTGTACGTGACAGCCTGGGATTATTATAAATGTCGTTTCTAATAAGGGTTTAATAAGGGTGTTCATTATTCTATACTTCATGATGAGGATTTATGTTTTTTAGTTTTTTTATTTAGCTTAAACTTACCTATAAATTTATCTATCATATTTATTTTCCATAAAAGTATAAAAAAAAACGAAACATATTTGAGTGAAGTAAACGTCAAATTTCCCGCGCTGTCAGCGTACTGTCACCTGTCGCTTGTTCACTGTCATAAGTCCCCTAATCCCTGGTCTGGCACTGGTGTGGGGTGATGTTGAGATGTATGCTCAGCTGTACGGCGATGTTCGAAAGGTTCACGTCGCGCCATGGACCCAGCCTCAAGGTGCTCGTCATGCACGCCCACGTCATCGCGCACCAGACCTTCGCGATGAAACTGCTGCATTGGTGAGTTACACTTTATTTTAAATCTTCTAAAGTTAATTTATGAAATGAGGCGTTAAAGTAACAGACGGACCTGACGTTAAGCAATCGACTCTGCCTATGGACATCGGAAACAAGAGGGGTTAATTGAGTGCGTTACCTTTATAGGAATTGGATGAAGATTGGTCCTTCGTTAAGGCCATTTAAACGCGAGCAATTCACAAAAAACTATAAAACAGTTTTTGGGTGAATCTGTGGTATCACTATGGTCGGGTCAGTGTACTTACGAGTATTTGTGCCAAATCATGGTTTTTCCGTAATTTATTCTTATCAGATGCAGTTTTTATAGTTTTATATGTTTTCGTCTGTTAGACGTGTGCGTACCACAGAGTTGTAATATATGGAATAGGGAAGACAAAACTACGTTTTTGAGATTTTAAAAAATATGTTTCTATAAATTACTACTTAAATCTCTTAAAATTGCAAAACATTGTGATTAGAGAGATTTTCGTTAGTTTTGGATATTCAAATACATAGTCATACATCCCTGTTGTGTGAGACTGGACCAAACACACTAAGTGCATTATGCACTTCTAGACATAAACTCAGTGGTACGTACTCGTATAAACAGACGCCTCCAGTTTGCTCGAGACTTTAACATAGTTATTTATATCCTCATACACCAGGCTACAAAACTTCGTAAGTCAAGAACCAAGTCTACGGCTGGCCGTTAGCCAAGTGGCACTTGGGGAAGAAGTCTGGGGGGCTAGCACGTCCGTAGGGGGTGGTGGCGGGGTCGCTTGTGGTGTCATGCAGAATGACTCGCGCATGTGGAAAGCTGCCCGCACCGCGTGGCACCGGCTTCTCATTGCCACCACGCTCATGGACTACTCAACGAAGCGAGCCATGGCCATATTGTTCACTAAGAATTATGGTAAGTTTTATTTAATTATTGGATGATCCGTATATAACCATATAAATTAATTATCACTTAGAAAAATAGCCAGTAGCCGATTCTCAGACCTACTGAATATGCATATTATATTTTATATATATTTACATTACATTACATGTATTTTTGAAATGTATCCAAACTAATATTATAAATGGGAAAGTAAATCTGTCTTTCCTTCACGTCTAAACTACTGAACCTATTTGTGTGAAATTTGGCACAGGCATAGTTTGGAACTTGAGAAAGGAAGGGATATTTTTTTTAAACCAAAAATCTGCAAGATGTCACTATTCCACGCAAACAAGGGCGCAAGCAAATGCTTGTCTTAAATAAATTCCTTAGTCCTAACAACCTTAAAAAAATATTTGTTCTCACGTTATGTATGAATGTAAATTAATTGTTTTATCATAATTTCAAATTTCCCGCGTATTTCTCAAAAACGCGGCATACAGCGAACGCCATTATTGTTTTTGGTCATGACGTATTACGTGGGAAAATTGCAGCTGTCAGTTATAATTTTTTTCACAGACGACATTGGCATGGCGGCGACATTTCGTAGTTTCAAAGAAAAATAAAAAAGCTATAAATTTTAACTAAATTTAAAAAAATTAAGTACTTACCTTTATTTATTTTTTTCTCATCTAGACTAAAATACCCTATTCTGTAAAAATCAGTTAAGTCGTTTCGGAAGAGTAAAGTAACTGGGTAGTTTCCTAGGTCAAAAATAAATTAATTCGACGTTTCGATACAATAAAATATGAAAAATAACTATGCTTTCATTTATCGATCAATCTATACACTAAATTTTAGATATTTTTTAGAAAATCATTAAGAAATAAGTAAGCTATTTGACGTACTTAATAATACTATGACGTCATAACTCAGTATTTCATACAAATTTCACAGAAAAGTGTCGTTTTTGTTGTGAATTTGACTAGTTGGAAACTACCCTACTCACATACACGAAAATTTTAAATATAAGATTGAACTACTTAGAATAATGTGGTTGTATTACTAATTAGAATGTGTTATTCGTTTGATTGTCTGAATCTCTAAAGCTTATTTTACTAGATTTAGTTTACTTGGATTTTTATATTGAATAATTTACAATTTTAAGAGATGTGTATTCCCGAGCATACGGCGCGTAGCGTTCCGCGCGCGCCTCAAAGAGCCAATAGACCACCACAGACGGGGCCCTATAGGTCTGATGTTCAGCCGGGGTTGCGGGGTAAGCGCAATGAGGCACCGCTACCTCGGCTCAGAGCAGGAGAAGGAACAGGGGGGTTTTAGTCAGTAAGAGTCTGACACTCCTTCCCGCCCGACCCTGTGCGGGAAAAGTCATTTGATGATTTTTCCCTCACCAAAAAAAAGAGGTGTGAATTAAATCAAAGCATTTGTCCTGCCTGCCTGTTAGCAACTTGTACTTTTCTAGCTTGTGTCTTTAATTAATTCTTAGAAGACCAATATGAAGGTTAGGTTACATAAAACTTGTAAACTCTTCTTACAGTGTGTCTCCCTTGTAGGGAGTATAGTAAAAAATAATAGTGAAATACTATTTTTTTTGTTGTTTTTTCGGTATCTTTGTATGTGTGTTGTTAACTGTAAGTATGGAATGGCAATTTAAATAAGTTTTATTTTAATAAAAAGAAGATCTGAAATGTATTTATTATTGATAAACATTATTTTGCTATACAAAACCAAGATATGGTCTTGCAATATATGATCCTTCCAGACATTCAACGGTCAGCATATAACAGTTTTTATACAAATAAAAAATACAATTAAACTTAATACTTTTATTGATAATTATTGTTTATAATGTCTTCACAATCCTGTTTAAATTGTTGCATTTGAAGTTCTACTTTATTTTTAATAATTGACAATTTTAATTTAGCTTTGGTTATTGCCAGTTTTAGTCTCATCTCTTCTTTAGCCAGTTCCCGGTGTCTTCGGAATTCCTCCATTTTTATTTTATACTCAAGTTTGGTTCTTTTGCCAGAAGATTTGGATCTTTTGCCCAAAGATACACCATTGTCCTGTAATAAAATTGAATAACATTATTTTTTTGTTTTAAAACCAAAGTTACTTCCTTGCCGGAGTGAATCGAGTTGGGGTGTAGAATTTTAGACAGAAATTTTAAGTGATTACAATATTGTAGTTGGTACCAATTATATTTTCCTTTATTTGTACCTTTGATTTAAATTACCTACATAAATAAGTAAATTTGCTTTTAATACAAACTTCGAAATTATATTCACCGGGTCATTCTGAAGTTCTTGAACTTCATAACGTGGTAATAATTCGCTTAGAGAATTTTTTTATTGACAATTTATAATTACCATTTACAAAGAAAATACAGTAGGTAGGTAGGTTTTATGGTTTTAGAATATACTGGTAAATAATAATTGTAAGCCTTACAAAAAAATATAAAGAAACATTTTCGAAATTTCGAAAATATATTACATAACTTGAAGTAGATATTATAGGTAGAACTATTATATATATTTATTACTGTGTTTAATTATATATTTAAAGCGAAATTCTTGCAAAAGTCAAAAATCATTTATTTCATAGACCCTTACAAGGACTTATGAACGTCAAACAAAATTTTAAAGATATAAAGTATCAGTCTGTCGGTCAGTCTTCTTAGTGAAGCTATTCGCTCGTTCCAAAGTGTAGAATCCGATGGAGAACAACGAGCAAGAAACTAGATCGTTACTCTTTTGCAAAAAATACCATGTCGTTAATAATGACTTCATGTAAACAAATAATTAAAATACCACGCGAACCCTAAATATTGGCATGACTTACCTTTTCTTGTACATCACAGTCATGGAATCTGCGTTTTTGGCTCATTATTAATTCAACAATCACAAAAGAATTTAAACTTTGACACTTAGTTATTTACTTTTATAAAACTTTTCAGTAGTACTGTCGCGTATAATGTCACAAAGCAAACTGAACAGAGCTCGATAAGCACACAGAAACAGCGTCTTGTCAAGTTGACAGACTAACTGCTACTGATGCAAGCTGTTGTTAGATTTGAAGTCATTCGTTCTTCATTCAGTTACTCACTCTTTTTGGATAAAAAAAAAGTGGGTAAGGGTTGCCATGTTATTCGCAGTGTTACCTAATGTAAATTAATAAATAGAGTTTATTTAGTTTTCATTTAACGATTAATTATGTTTGGAGTTATTGTATTTCTTTTTTTATATATATTATACATAAGTAAGACTTTATTTTAAAATAGTAAGACTTTATTTTAAAAAAATATCTAGAAACATTCTAAAAACAATCTAGCTAAATACCATTTATCTAGAAACGAGTCGATATAATAGCCATTTGTTTTTATATTTTTACCCGACTACGGCAAAGTAAAAGGAGCAAAAGGACACGTTACATTACTTACCATACCTGCACTATGATAACGTGTGAAACGTAAACGTAACGTATGAACGTGCCTTTCAGTATTCTGAAAATCTTGTTTTATACTTTTTCGGTGTCGGTTTTTGTCGTAGTTGGGTTTTAGTTTTTTTATTATAAATATATGAAGAGGTCTTCATTCTTAATCATTTATTTACAACTCTTAATATAATAAGTATTTATTAAGTTTTGAAGCGAAATACCAATACGGTATTTTCCAACTAGTCAAATTCAATACTTTTATCCAAATGTCAAAAACGGTACTTTTCTATGAAATTTGTATGAAAAACTGAGGTATGACGTCATAACAGTTTTGCGTCAAATAGCTTACTTATTTCTGAATTATGAGCTAAAAAAATCTAAAACTTAGTGTATCGATCGGTCGATGAATAAAAGTATAGTTATTTTTCAATATTTTATTGTATTAAAACGTCGAATTAATTTATTTTTGACCTAGGACACTACCCAATTAATCTCTTATGCATTCTATATTCCAGGTTCCATATTAAAAGATTTCATCAAAGACGACCACGACCACTCGTTCTCGATATCATCTCTGTCGGTACAACTGTACACGACGCCGACTCTGGCGCACCATCTAATCGCGAAACATGACGCGCTGTTTGTAGTCATGAATACCTTCATAAGCGAGTGTAATCGCCGCTGTAATCCACAAACTGTAAGTTTTATTATCTAAAAGTATTTTTATAATAACTCTTTTTTTATTTTATAAGGTCGGTTAACGAGCTGACGCAAAGCAGATTTAATTTTCCAAATAGACCATAAATTGATACTTTTGAAACGTCAAAATAGAATAAACCCCGGTTTCCGAAAGGCCGATCAATGTTAAAATCAATTTAATCTCTTGTCAAGTCATCTGATTGGTTGACGGAATTATCAACAACCAATCAGATGACTTGACAAGAGATTTAACACTAGATTAGTTAATTTAAGCGTTGACAAGCCTATCAGAAACCGGGTGTAAGTCAGTCAGTCAGTCGCAAAATACTATGGTCATACACTTCAATAGTGTAAAAAGACATTACATCAATTAATCTGTGGTTTATTAATTTAATAGTCTTTTACGAACTTTCTAACAGACTTCTCTATTCTTGAAATAGGGAAATAATAAACTGTATTTTTTTATTTATTTCTACAGGGTCGCCTAGAATTTGACCGGACACATATACCGATGGCGTTTAAGCGTGCGCAGTTCATTCTGTACGATGTGAAGTACCTCCTCAGTTCGGTACCGACCTCCTTCGACGATGATCTACGCAAGGGCTTCATGCATGGCATGTCCCTGATGCTGAACTTGCTCGTCATGATGCAGGGAATGGACTCTGTCGTCAGACAGGTTAGATGAAATAATTTTTGGATTCTTATGAATCTGGGGGGGGGGGGGGATGCGGGTCAAGCGCAATAATGAATTTGGAGCAGGAAAATTATCAGACTCCTAGTCTGATAATTTCTGATAATGATAGTAGCAGTAGTAGTGGCTATGTTAAAAATAGGAAATATTAACTAATGCTATCTAATGGCTCATGACTATAAAAAGTAGAAGCAGAACGAGAGTATATTAAAATATTTACAATAATTGTATATTTTTTTTTATGTAATAGGTAGGCAAACGAGCAGACGGATTACCTGATGGTAAGCAATCAGCGCCGCCCATGGACACTCGCAACAGAGGAGTTACGAGTGCGTTGCCGACCTTTTAGGGATAAGGGATTTGGAGATTTAGGGATTGAGTTGGGATTGGGGAAGGGGAAGGATTGGGCCTCCGATAACCTCACTCACACGGCGAAACACAACGCAGTGGTTATTTCACGCCGGTTTTCTGTGAGGTTGTGGTATCACTCCGGTCGAGCCGACCCATTCGTGCCGAAGCATGGCTCTCCCACACTTTAGTTATTATGTTATTTAATATGTTTATTATAATATAATGAATATGTTCACACCTATTCTTCGTACTTTTTATTGACAGAGAATGCCATGGTATTAAGTTCACCTTATGTTTCGTTTTTGTGTGTAAGTAATTTCAATAAATAAATATTCGTAACAGTTGATTGATATCGATAGTAATATAGATTTATTCCATTCCCAGGTTGGCCAGCACATGGAGTATGAGCCGGAATGGGAGTCTGCCTTCAATCTGCACGTGAAGCTGGCGCACAGCATCACGCTGTCCCTAGAGTGGTGCGCGGCAGAAAAGACCCTAGCCACGGCCGTCTACCGCATGGCGCTAAGGAAATACAGCGAGACTTACACTCCACCACCCAGGGTTGTCCGGGGTCAGTATATAAGAAGTTTTTTTTTTATGTCATAGGACGGATAACGAGCAGACGTATTACCTCATGGTAAGCAATCTGCGTCGCCCATGGACACTCCTGATACCAAGGAGTGAGTTGCCGGACTCTCGTCGGTTATTAGGGATTTAAGGATAAGGGATTTAAGGATTAAGGATATAGGGGAAAGGATTGAGCCTCCGATAACCTCCCTAACACGGCGAAACACAACGTGTTTCTTCACACTGGTTTTCTGTGAGGACGTGGTATTATTCTGAACAAGGCGGCTCTCCCACAGTAAAATAGCTAATGTGTTGTTTGGCTGTTCAATTACGAATTCGATATTTATTGCGATAGCCACAAGAATAAATTTAGTATAAGAATTGATTTGGCACTTCAAAGAAAAATATGTGTACTCAAAGATTGGCGCGGATGTTAATTATGAGAATAATCTCAGGGCAGGCGTCGTTACCATTTTATTAAACAAAAAATGTTGAATTCAGTGATTATAGAAAGCTTAGTTTTTCATTGGTAGAGCAGATTTGAGTTGTCACCTTTAATAAGCAATTGGCGAATGGGCGCTCGCTTACACAAAATGTTAAGCTTGATCTTATATGTGGGAGAGCCATGCTTTTGGTTCGAAACGAAAGGTTCGGCTTGACCGCAGTAAATACCACGGCCCCACAGAAAACCGGCGTCAAACGACCACAGCGTTGTGTTAAGCCTCATCAATGAGATTATCGGAGGCCGAATCCTTACATTCTTGCCATTCCTCCACAATCCTTTCTTTTGTCAGGGGAAATTCATCAAATGTCCTCGCCCAGGGTAAGGCGAAAGAGAGTGTCAGACTCTTATTGACTAAAAACCACCCGTTCCTTGTCCTGTCTTAGACCTCATCCACAGTCCTTGAATACCCAGAGACCTCTCTTATCTCCATAATGCCGGCAACGCATTATTTTATTGTATGTTCATGAAGTTTTATTGTTGATAACCACAGTGTGAGGCAACGTTGTACGCTGTAGCTACCTTAATATGTTATGCAACTAGCTTGAAACTTAATAATTGTTGACTATACATTTAAGTATTGTAATAACTACTGCACGTCGATTCTATAAAATTTGTTTGATTTTGAATCTTGTTCGAGTGCGAAGTGAGCGTCGAAGTGACGGGGTAATTAAATTTTAGAATGCCACTTTTTACGTCATCTCATACTTTATCTATTAAAATGTTGCTGTCAATTTAGTTCAATTCCCAAGTGTAGCGCTAGTGTACTACTTCTCACAGCGGATTTAGATTCGAAGTTTAGAACGAAGTCTTACAGAATCACACCCCTGGTGGTTCTAATAAATATAAATAAATAAATAAACGTTTGAAACAACAATGTCGTTTGGTTCCCCAGAGCTGGGCAACCAGAGCGCGTCGGTGATCCCGTACGACGTGTCGACGGAGCCGGTGTCGATCCACCGGCCGCTGTCGCGGTACATCGCCGGCCTGCATCTACTGCTGCACGCCCACGGACTCTCCTACCACAGCCGGGAGTTCGACCGACAGGACAAACCCAAGCCTACGCCTGTCGAGCTCATTGGTACCGTGACGTGTTGCTCATTGCTTCTTATATAATTATCTAACATACATACATGTAGGCTCAAAAACCCTATATTTAATTTTTGTTTGTAGTGACTGCACGGTTGGCGCGGTGGCTGGGCAACTGGCTGCCGCGCAACGTGTCGCGGGTTCGATTCCCGCACGGAACAACTCTTTGTGTGATCCACAGATTGTTGTTCCGGGTCGGGGTGTGATGTGCACGTGAAATTGTATGTTTGTCATCGCACCCACGACACAGGAGAAAATTCTAATGTGGGACAACGTTTACTCTAAAAAAAAAGTTTATTATTATTATTTTAAAGTGAATGAAGTAAAACAGGTAGAGAGAGGATTAGATTTAAAACGTTTTGTTGTAAGAATGAAGTTTTGTTTGTTGGGTCAAAAGAAAAAAAAAACTATTATGTTCGAGCCAAGTTTTCTTATTAAGGCCTCAACCCCACACTTCAATAGGGTAGTTTCTAACCAATCAAATTCAATACTTTTCCCAAAATGTTCAAAACGAAATTCGTTTATCAGTTATGATGAAATATGCAAATTGTAGTGACTTAATTTTTTACGACAAGTAGCATACATGTTGCTCTTGAATTACAAAAAAATCTAATTCACGTTGCTGTTAAGCATATCGTAAAGTTAAGTAATGATCGTGGGATTATATTTATTTGTGAATGGTTTATGGCTTTACAAGTAAAATTTATTTCGGACCGAAGAAACTACCCAATCTGTATAAATATTCGATTTAGTACGCTTGTTTAAAAATTAGGCTCTAGCAAACATGTTTGTATAAAAGATTTCTAGTAAAAAACTATTTAAATATACTATTTCCTTGTCTTCCAGAGCCAGTCCTGCAAACGATGGCGATGATAGGTCAGGTGCACGCGGGCATGTGGCGACGGAACGGGTTCGCTCTGATCAACCAACTCTACTTCTACCAGAACGTCAAGTGTCGCGCGGAGATGCTCGACAGAGATGTTGTCATGCTACAGGTATGAACCAAACACTATTTCATCCCTAAATCTGGACAAAATGTTGCCCTAAACAAGTATTTGCGCAAACTCGGAACATTAGTTTGTCAAGAACATACAGAGTTTTTTTCTTGCCCTCCCACCACCTTGAAGAAAAATCTAATGTGTGATCTGTTTCTCATAAACATTAAACCTAGACCCGAAATAACAATTTGTGGTGTAACACAAAGAGTTGAGCTAGTCGGATATTCAGCAGACATTTCGGGTGTCATGGATATGCGACCAGAGCCAGACCCGAACATACGTCGCGTAGCGTTTCGCGCGTGCGTCGATAGCCAATATACCACCTTGGCTAGTAGATAGGCCCTAACAGAGCTGATGTTCAGCCGACGCAGTATAGTACGGCCGATGTATCTTGGGGAGTCTGAAGTTAGCCGTTTGTCTGCGCAATGGATCTTTTAGGAACAAAATGTGTACTGCGCAGCTAATCGGCTAACTTCAGTCTCGCCAAGATACGTTGGCGGTATTGTAAGTGCAATGTACCGTTGTCTCGGCGTGAAACAGGAGAAGAAACGAGGTGGTTTTGTTAGTTAGAGTCTGACGTTTTCTCTCGCCTCGCTCAAAGCGAGAGAAGTTATTTATTATTTTCCCCTCGAATGAAAAGCATTGTCCTGACTTGTCCAGCAACTTCTCCGATCGTGCAGTCTAATATTTTATGGTATAAATCGAATATTGAAATGACCTACTGTAGGGGAAGATTTATTTGCCTTCTATAGTTAAAGATTAATTTTACAAAAGGACTAAACAAATCCTCTATCATATTACAGATCGGAGCCTCTCTTATAGAGAGCAACGAGTTTATAATCCACGTACTGAACAAGTTCAACTTGCTGGAGTGGGCGGCGCCGGACTTCGAGCAGCGCAGTCTGGAGGACGACACCCTCCGACATACCATCTCCATGCTCGAGGAGTTCTTAGGCTTGCTCATCACCAGTAAGTAAAGCTAAATTACTTTTTTGTAATTCTTAAAAAGTAAAAGTACTTTTTCTTATTTGTTTACAATATTGAATCCAATAAAACGTGAATAAAATAAGCAGAATTAAATGTTATGATGGTGTATGTCTTATGTTGTTTGACTCAAAAAGAAAGATTACATCACAACATAGTCATGTAGTTTTTTTTTATCAGTTCGTTATAAAAAGAATAGCTTTTCCTGCTCGTCATTTACCAATACTTATTTTCAATTACGATATTTCAATGCATTTTGTATGAATTAGCAAGTAGCAAGTGTATGAGTTATAGTGTTATAACTTTTTTGGTTCAAATAACTTACCTATACATTAAATGAAGCATTAATAAAAATATATATTAAGTGAATAAATAAAACTGTGATTGCTTTAAAGAGTTTTTATATTTTCAAAAGTTGAACTATTTTTTTACTGGGGAAACTACAGAAACGGACTTTCCTAGTTGTCAAATACTTAATTATAACTAACTTATATATTTTATTACTTATATTTATTACTTATATATATATTTCTGATACGTTTCCAGTCTACGGGTCCCGCTACGTACCTGGCGTGGGCGAGGTAACCAACGAGGACCGCACCATGAAGGAAATTATACAGATGTTGTGTGTCAAGCCCATGCCTCACTCAGAACTGAACAGGTACAAACACTTGACAATAACTAGTAACACAGTACCAGGCGATAAATATTGCACATTGACTTGGAAAAAGACAATTTAATATGATGATGTGAACTACATTATTTGTAAAAAAATAATTATGAGTTCTCGTTTAATATTTGCCATTTTATCGACCAATCTCTTTCCAAAGGCCGATGGTACTATAAATATAGAACATCATTATCATCAGCCTGATTTCGTCCGCCGCTGGACATAGGTTTCCCCAGTTTCACGCAAAACATAGAACGCCATTAAGTTATTATTATGCTTTTTCACACTTTTTACCCTCCCTACACTTCTCTAAGGGGTCGAATAAGGGAGTATACAGTGCGGCCGACGTATCTTGGCGAGTCTGAAGTTAGCCGATTAGCTGCGCAGTACACAATTTTGTTCCTAAAAGATCCATTGCGCAGACAACCGGGTAACTTCAGACTCGCCAAGATACGTCGGCCGCATTGTAAGTATATGAAAGACCAGGCAGTAGCACTTGTTATTAACCTTAAACTGTTACATTGCTATATCCAACTATTACTAACCTTGGACTAATGTAGTAAATATCTATAGTCCAACAAATAATTGTCAGAAATAATGGTGATGATGATAATGACTATTTCCAGGTGTCTCCCAGAAGACCAGCTCCATGAAACCGGTTTAGAAGCAGTCATTCACAAAGTAGCAGACTTTATTAAGCCCACCAGTGGGAACAACCGTGGTGTTTACAAACTGAAGCCGCACTTGTACGATGAGTACGACACCTTCTTCTACCACTACACCAGGGAGGAACTGTCCAGGAGTGAGGAGGAACAGAGGAACAGGAGAAAGGCTGCAGGTTTGGGAGATCATCATTAATTATTATAGCATTTGTATGGGTATATTATGCATTAAAATTCTTTGCATCAATATCCATTGCTTAGTTTTGGAGACAGAAGGAAAACGATTTTGTTTTAGATATTCTATATAATAATTAATGTACAAATACTAGCTTTTGTAAGAAAATGAAGATTTTTTATATATGCTGACAGGGTTTCTCCAGCGTACCTGGGATAAAAAATTCCACACTATATTCTGTCTACCAAATTTAAATCAAATCCTTTCAGTAGTTTTTTATTGGAAAGAGCAACATATATGTACATACCTAGAGTTTTATTCTCATTTTATTGCCTTGCTGATCACTTAACATCCCTTTCCCGGGTTGTGGAATGATTGTTTTGTTCGTTCATATAAATGATTGTATAGTCTATCTTTAGTACTATGTTTGTATAGTCTATAATCGATGGTCACTGAACATCAATCACATATAGAAAAACTAAGTATGATAGGAAATTTGTAAAAATAGAATGAAATGAGTACCTACGCATTTTTATCTCATAATTATTTATTTTGTTTCCAGGTCTTCCGGAATGCTGTCCCCCGCCAATGCTCCCAAAGCTGGCGCCTCCATTCCGTCTTCTCGCCAACCTGTTACAATGTGATGCGGTCCATCATGTGCTAAAGACTGTACTAGAACGGGCCTTAGACCTTAGGGCCAGGTCCTTCTCCGAGACTCAAGTGCATAAGGTAAAGTTTTTATTATTGATTGTGTAACTAAATTTTTACTTTAAACTCTCAATCACCTGTTTTGGTGACACTGGTACGTAGTGTGATAGCCGAACATAATAGTTTTTATATAAAATTTTGTTTGTAGATAAAACTGAATTACTGGTTTTGTGTTAATTAATTAAAAAAAAGACTTGACAGTTATTTATCTAGAATTTAAGTACTAAAATATAAATACGATACGGGCATATATCGGATGTCACAACTGCTTGATGAAGTAATATAATAACAAAAAAATATATATTTCCTGTATCTTTTAAAAGGTTAATGTCCCATGTGTATTCTGAACTTCATGCCTTCTTTTTGCGAGGTCTTTTTTCTATGGGTACTTATAGTGTGATGATTGTTGTATTGCAGGCGCTGCACCTGATAGGGTACGCGCTGCGCGACGAGGAGAGCGGGCACTACGAGTTCGTGCAGTTCGCGGAGGGCTGCGCGCGGACCGGGCTGGCCGCCCTGCTGCAGCAGCTCGCCGCCAGCCCGCGCCTCGACGCGCATCGACATCTCGCGCGCTGGCTGCATCACAAGATACGGTACTCGAGTTAATTGACCACCTGGTTTGCTGAGGTCCCAAATGTTATATCCCTGACAACCAAAATTTAGTTATCTTATACAAAATTCATCATGACGTATCTGTTTTTGACATTGCTTTGAACTTTGTATGACCTCAAAATTAACTAATGTTAAAACCCTTTAAACCTTCCATGGACTTATAACAATGAATTAAGACAAAAATTACCCAAATAAGTCCAGCCGTTCACGAGTTTTAGCGAGACTAAAGAACAGCAATTCATTTTTAAAAATAAGATGGCTAATTGTATTTTCAATATAGCGACAAGTAGCGTAGCAGCCAATCGTCTAGCCATTATTCTGAAAAAAGAACATTATCTTTTAAAATTTTATCTCAAATAATAAAATATTGTTCAACAGATCTCTACTTGGACAGACTGATGAACACATCGGTGACGGTGAAAACATGGACACGGATCAGGAAGAGAAACCTACCAACGATGAGGCTGCAGGTATGTATACAATCTCACTAGACTTATCATCTCAACCTGTCTTTCTGTCTGTCTATCTCCCTATTCGACGGTCACGTTTTGACCAACTCAACACTAAAAACTAATGCTGTAAAATAGGTATTTTACTTCAAATCAAAATTTCTTTACATTTTACACGTAACTGTTGACAGGATAACCCGATTCATTTCTAGTTACGCTAGGGGCTCATATATGGCTCGAAAACGATACAGCCAATATCCTTGAAAGTTATCCAAACTATCCAAATTATCATTTTACTACGTAACTTAAGTTCTTGATATCAAATAGGCATGTGTGTAAGACGTTGAACTTTAGCGTTTACCCGCGACTTTCTCAGCAAGAATTTTTACTAAAAGTAGCCTATGTCGTGGACTAAACTTACATATCTACTCCATACTCCCAACCGTATGTATCAAAAAAATGAAAAGAGTAAAGTAAAAAATAAAAAACGTAGTTTCACATAATAATAGTAGGATATATAATTAAAACCTTTGTTTTTAATTTTAGAAGCTGAAAAGTCACGTCGTGCGAAGTTAGCGGCGGAGCGCCGAGCTAAACTAATGGCACAGATGAAGACACAAATGAACAACTTCATATCAAAGAACGCCACGCTCTTCGAAGAGACCACGACTGAGGTAAAGTACCATTCACATGTATTTCTTAATGTTTCACTTCTTATTTATTCATAACTAGCTCTTACCCGCGGCGTCGCTCCCGTCATTTCATAACCTACCCTACTCTACCTACCCTACTCTACCTAAGTTACACTACCTACTCTATCCTATGCCCTTCTCCCAGTTCTTAGCTACCTCCCTACGAATTTTCAGCCAAATCGCTTCAGCCGTTATTGAGTTATAAATAGTGTAACTAACACGACTTTGTTTTATAATATAGACTAGCTCTTCCCCGCGGCGTCGCTCCCGTCATTTGAGTACCTACCCAACTCTACCTGCCCTACTCTACCTACCCTACTCTACCTACCCTACTCTACCTACCCTACCTACCCTACTCTACCTACCCTATCTACCCTACCTGCTCTACCTACCCTACTCTACCTACCCTACTCTATGTACCCTACACTACCTACCCTACTCTACCTACCCTACTCTACCTACCCTACTCTACCAAACTCTACCTACCCTACTCTACCTACCCCACTCTACCTAACCTACTCTACCAACTCTATCCTATCCTATGTCCTTCTCCTGACTCTAAACTACCTCCCTGCCAATTTTCAGCTAAATCGGTTCAGCCGTTCTTGAGTTATAAATAGTGTAACTAACACGACTTTCTTTTATATATATAGATTTAATAGATTTATATGTAGACCTCGGCTCCTTTAGACGGCTCGGGCCGCAATACGCCTTAGCGGTAAACACAAACATTTCACACTCGCACTACAATGTACTATTATTTATTTGTACTTGAGGATAAGAATGATCATTGATCACCTTATAAACAGTTAATTTCCACTATAAAATCTATTACATTATTTTAAATCACTATAAGTTTATTAGTTGATTTTGTATTAGTATTTGTCTACCTAATCGAGTGAAATAAATATGGGTTTGGCGGTAAAAGTGACGTGAAACTATAAATCTTTCGTTACAATTACGCAAAGAACTGTCATAATCAAAAAAAATGTGGAACAACTTTATGTTAGCCCCGTCGTTAAAATATGTTTATGATAGTTTACAACAATTTTTCGGAAAATTCATCACACTTTCGGAAATGTCAAATACAACAAACCTATGAATTTCATATGAAATAGCACGTTGTGATGTCATAATTATTTAACGCCAAAGAGCACTCTTATTTCTCTTGAATTATCTAAACAATACTCATAATAAAATTATAGTGTATGTCGTAAAAATGATGAACGAAAATGTGTTTATTTCAAACCACATTTTCGTGTTATAACTCAAAATATTTTCTTTTTACTGAAAATAGTACACAATTCCTATAAAAATTACAAAGTTGAGTTTTAAATGTAACAAAAGATTTGAAAGCCACGATATATTTGCAGTTATTTAACGAGTTTCTATCATTTGTTTGAATACACAGTACGTATTTCGACCATCTCTTCAGCGACTCCGTGGCGCAACGGTAGCGCGTCTGACTCCAGATCAGAAGGTTGCGTGTTCAAATCACGTCGGGGTCAATCTTCTCTTTTTGGATGTTAGATGCATTTAGGTCTCGCATTTTTTTTGCAAATTTTTTTTAAGTAAATTCGTTTTGTTTTCGCTATATTTTTTATAGCTTTTTAGTATTTTAAGGGCTGATTTTTCAATGGTTACATTAAAGTTACCTGGGTTAAATTATAACGCTAATCAGAATGTTTGTATAAGACGGTGACAGCAACAATTTTATTACTCAGATAACATTTATCTAACAATTGAAAAATCACCCCTTAATCAAAATAAATTTGTAATTTTATACAGTATATTTTTTTAATAATTGATATTTTTTTTTAAATATTTATTAATATTTTTAATAAGGAAATAGGGACACTTTGGTCGTTAGCGAGATAGTTAAAGACGCGTGCAAAAAAGCAGGGGTGGGCCGCTAGTACCAGATAAATTTGAATATAGAACATAATTTATTATAACACACATGATAATATTTTGCACAGTAATTTTGTTTTAGTAATAAAAATAAAAGTGATGAGAATAGAATAAAAAAAAAAGCTTTTTTTTGGGTAAATTGAGTGCTCTGAATGTCACTATAGTTCGTTCCATAATTAGAGACAACAATTTGACAACAGCAAATGTCAAACTATAAAATAATGTGGCCAGATTTTTCATCATAGTGATGGGCCCGAGTACGATGTTTTAAATAAAATACCGATACAGTTTTTTTATAAAATACCCTGAGCAAAATAAAACAACGTTGCGGTGATGTTTTTTATAGTTTAGTCGAATTAATAATAATAATTTAAAATAAAATGCAAAATCCAAGACTGGCTAAAAGAAAAACATTATATTTGAGGAACCTATGCTGAAAGCCGAGCTGTTGGAGATTTCCCGGCAAGAGAAGAGTAATTATGAATGATACGTCGTGGACTGATGGCTGCAAAAAGGGGGGTCACTATTTTACTTTTGCCTCCTTACCTTTGTGATTTTAACCCGACTGAGTTAGTATGGGCACAGGAAGGTACCAGGGAAAGTAGCTAAAAATAATAAAGCTTTTAAAATGCAAGAGGTCCAGAATTTAATTTCGGTCTTTCGGTCAATACCGGTCGCGGGACTTCACTATTTATGAAATGGAAAAAACTTGCAACACTCGACATGTCAAATCGTTGTCTCTAATTATGGAATGAACTATATATATTTGACGCTGACGGCAAACAAAACTGCCCTACCAGGATACGACGAGTTTTAAATCGTCCTTTATGTACTGATCATTGATGTGTGTCCCCGTTGCAGGTGACGGCGGAGGAGCAGGAGTTGCGGCCGCTGTACTGCGGCGCGGCGCTGGGCGTCTGGGGGGGCGGCGTGCCCGAGCCGGCCCGGGTCTGCATCATGTGCCAGGAGGAGGTAAACATAGCTTTGTTTCATTGTTATTATACATTCACCATACTATTATTATGCCGATCGTGTTTGAAGACCGTCGTGGTGGCTCGGAGGTTAAAGCGTTCCGCGTCCCGCTTCTAATGCATACCTGGCAAGTACTAATGCGACTTTTTCTTAGTGATATGTACTTTCTATGATTATTTAGATGACACAGATATATGGTGAAGGCTCAGAATACAGAACAAACCAGAATCCGCGTTCACTCATAATTACATGTCGTCAAATGTGTCCAAAAACAATACGTCAATCCCCCCGCCAGCCGCACTTCCCACCCGCGTAGTGTTGCCGACAGTGGAACAATTCCCTTGGTTTGGGGTAATTTTACAACAGGAGGGTAAGATACGAGTAAACCCAACAAAATAGGTAAACTTACGATAAATGCAACAGACTAGTTGTTCACACATTTCATACAGGTATCATAAAAGTTGATGATTTCTGGATTTGTTAATTTTAGATACACCATACACAACAATAAAATAAAGCTTCAAAAAGTACAAAGGTTTTATTGCGTTCCCTTTTGCTGGTTTATATGTGTATTTTTATACGTATTGTCTTTAGACTCCGAACTAAAGATTAGATGTCTACTTACTTTACTTAGTTCCTGAGATTAGCGCATTCTAGCAAACAAACAAACTCTTCAGCATTATAATTAGTATAGATATATCTTAGTAAGATATGCTGTTTTCAAACAACCTTTGTCATAAATATATCTCTTCAAAGTAAATTGAGCAAACTATGCTCTGGCTAGATGGTTTCCAAAATGAATCTAACCGTGCCCTTTGTATGATTTGTATTTATTTTTTTTGTCAGGGAAACTAATATGACATAGGCTCCAGAATGGACAAAAATATAACCCACAACAAATAAATAAGTGGGTAAAATTTTCACCAAAAATGACAACACTCACAAAATGGCCGCATCATTTTCATAGAAAAATAAATCGATAAAAAAAATTCAATAATTAATTAAATATACTATTGCAGTCGATGCTTGCAGATGAAATGTAATCTTATCCACTTTTTTCGTAATGCCAGTCGCATTTTTACTCGTAGTAATAACACAAGACGGCATAATGAAATTAAAATTGATACTCGTAAATACGTCACGACATGCCACGTGCCAAAATTGACTAATCGTAGAAATTTCATACTATTCTAGTTTAGAATGGTTTTAGTTGCTTTAGTTTGAAGCGCGATGACGCCTTCTGGTTTGTTCTGTATTCTGAGGGTGAAGGAAAACATTGCGAGGAAACCTAGACTTACGCCCGGTTTCTGAAAGGCTTGTCAACGCTAAAATTAACTAATCTCTTGTTAAATCTCTTGTCAAGTGTCAATTGGGTTGCATAAAGCATGATTAATCAACTAATTTGACCATCATGTCAGTTGACATGGCTGTCAAATCAACTCAAGAATCGAATGATTATCGCAATTTTGGGTTTCTGAAACGCTGGTCAAGCCTTGATCATAGATTATTCGTCTGTCAAAAGCTCGGTCAACTAATCGGTGCTTGTTGGCGAATTAACTTACGAATACAACTGATTTTTCACGTGAGTTTACATTTTCTCTTCAAATAAGTATATTTTCTTAAGGTATGTTAAACAGAAATATGTGTTACGACATTTTATTTGTAATAATACAATTTTCTTTGTAAGTGTAAAATATTTGATATCTTGATTAACTTACATTGATTCTCGTTTTAGATTACGATAATGTTTCTTTCGGATAGTAGCATGATGAGTATCAGCACATCCAGCAGCGATGAAGATTTAAGACCAGAATGAATCCGTTTGATTTCTACAATGAAGAGGAATTTAAGAATCGGTAAATTAGCTCTTTTCCAAATGTGATCGGGGCATTTGACTGCACACATGTAAAGAAACAGTCTACTAGTGAGCCACAAGCTGAGCTGTACAGGAACAAGAAAGGATATTTCTCAAGTATATCTTAGGATAGTTCAAGAAGATATTGGTGCTCTGTCAGAGATAAATAAAAAAACACTTCTGTGCGCACATCTTTATTGTTGACTCATTTTAATTGTTAAGTAATATTAATGGTATGTATTGTTAGGCGAATACAAAGAAATAACCATATTATTAACATGTTTAATTAATCTTTATAAAATATAACACTTGAAATATAAAAACAAGTACATATTTAGTTAGTATAGTAACTTATATTTAAATTAAATGCTTATAATGTACATTTCTTAACCAAATGATTTATTTTATTTCGAAATATATGCTGTTTTATAGTTAACCGATATTCTAACTTTTTTTTTATTTACATACTCTTTATTTCATTATACTTCTTATTATTCTGTTTCTGAGTGTCTGCCTCTCACGTTTAAATTGTTTCCTTGATGTGCAAGTTAAATTACCTGTAAATAAATTTCATTAAAGTTGTAATAATTACTCTTAATACATGATTAGGTACTTACTTAAGAAATCAGGACAGATATTTAATATTTCCTAATCTGGTAATAGTTACAATATTCTAACTAGCTAGTATGGGTACTATAAAAGTATTTTAAGATCAAAAACTTACATTTTTATTGGCTTCGAGGCACTTCTGCATTACTGTTGAATTCATTCGTTGTGGTTTCCCGAGTTTCATTTTTATTAATAGTAGAAATAGCATTTGTGCACTGATTATTAATTATGTTCTTGTCTCTGTAATAAAACATAGTGCGTATTATACATCAGTCTTGGCTGCAGCGCAGGATGTAAAGTAAAAACAAAGATATTTAATACTTTTAAACAACAATAGGTTTATAAAACGCAATAGGTAAAAATATATGTTTATACATATACTTACTTCTGAACTAACTTACTAGTTAAAAATAGAACATGCCTTTCCCTTTCGATGAAATTCTTCCCTCGTTATGCCATTTTAAGCAAGTTTAGTTTGCATTTTATTGAAATTGTAACTAGATATTTAAATTTCGCAGAATTGTTTGACATCAATGACAGTCCGTAATTTTTTTAATATTAACATATTTGACAGATAAGAATGAACTATTGAACAAGAAAGAGCAGTGTGGCTATGATTAAAAATAAATCGCATGTCAAATCAAAATAATCATAGATTAGTTAATTATGGTCTGATCAACGTTTCAGAAACTCAAATTGATTTGACATTCATGTCAAATTACTCACAGTGTTAGTTGATCAATGAATTGACAAGCCTTTCAGAAACTGGGTGTTAAAATTTCTAATCATATTAGTGGTTTTTTTTTTTTGTTAGGGAAAATCATCAAATGACTTCTCCCGCCCAGGGCCGGGCAGGAGGGAGTGTCAGACTCTTACTGACTAAAAACCCCCCTGTTCCTTCTCCTGCTCTGAGCCGAGGTCGCGGTGCCTTATTGCGCTTGCCCCGCAACCCCGGCTGAACATCAGCCCTTTAGGGCCCCATCTGTGGTGGTCGAATGGCTCTTTGAGGCGCGCGCGGAACGCTACGCGCCGTACGCTCGGGCCTGGTTCTGGTCGGGCGGCGAGCTGCTCTTACTCGCCGACCGCAGGCCCGTGCTTACGGTGGCCGGAGATCGTCCCTCGATCCCCGACGCCCGTAGTGTCGCCAGTTGCGGCTGCTGGGGCGTGAGGAGGAGGATTGCTCCCTCACGCGGGCCGCCTCTCTCTTTGCGAGCATGACCGCTTCACAAAAGGAGGAGACGGCGCCCCAGTTCCTCTCACTCCGCACCATGGCCTCGACTAAGGCCGGGCGCGAGAGGTCGCCGCCGCCGATCACTTCCCTGAGGATACGGCGGTGCTCAGCCCAGGCAGGGCATACCGCTACCGTATGCTCCACCTTATCCTCTAGGTGGTCCTCACAATGACGACACTCGGGCGTTTCCTCCCGCTGGATCCGAAACAGGAACCTACCGAAGCTGCCGTGCCCGGTAAGCACCTGCGTCAGACGGAAGGTGAGGACGCCGTGGCGTCTCTCAAGCCACTCCTCAAAGAGGGGTCTTACCGCTGCTATAGTAGCGTGCCCGGCCCTCGGTTGCGACAGTCGCAGCTTCCACTCAGCCATGAGATCTCGCCGGAGCTCATTCCGCCACGCACTAATTTGGCGCGGCAGAGGATCTTCGCCCCGGCGACACGCGTCTGCGCGCAAACTGTAGACGCGCGCAAGCGCCTCCGCTTCTAGATCCCACGGCGGTGATCCGGCAAGGAGGTTCGCCGCCTCACCGGAGATCGTGCGATATCCGCGGATTACTCGGATAGCCATGACCCTCTGGGACGCGACCAGCGTACGAGCCGGCCGCCGCTTCAAGTCCGGCGCCCACACTGGGGCACCGTAGAGGGCCATGGATCGCACAATCCCCATATACAACCTCCGGCAGGAGGCGTTTGGCCCCCCGAGGTTGGGAAGGAGCCGCTTGAGCGCGGCCCCAGACCGTTCCAACTTAGGGGCCAAACGACGAAAATGCTCCGTGAAGTTCCATCGGCTGTCAAGGACGAGACCCAGGTACTTCATCGCCGACTCGACGCCGATGGTAACTCCTCCTGCCGTTATTTGGGATCCACCTGGAGGTGGCGCGTTCCGACGGCCATAGAAACACATGGCCTCGGACTTGTGGAGCGCCACCTCAATCATATTAGTGGTTAAGGTGTGATTTATGCACCTTATATTTAAACCTTCTTGTGAAAAGAGGCCTTTGCACAGCAGTGGGCATTTATGGGCTGATGGTGTGATATTAAAAGAAACACATTTTTATGAAATTATGGTCTAAGGAATAGATGGATTCGATATACTAGATATACAAATGCCATACTGTTTTTTAAGAATTAGTTAAGAATTTCTTTTTGAATCTTTGAAAGTCGTATTCAGTGTGGTTATCATTGACAATAATCGATTGGTTTCTTGATCCGTTTTGCTCCTCAACGCTAGAGTGCGTTGCCGGCTTTTTGGGATTAGGGTTTAAAAATTGGGGGCCCCTCCCCCAATTTTTAAATATTTATATTTTAATGGTGAAATACAATGCTGTGTGTTTTAAGAGATTTTATTTCTAAATAATATTATGTAGTTCGGAATTTGTCTTCACCTACTAACTTATTGTCGTTTTTTTAGTATTTGAGAGACAAATCAATATTGTTTTACAAGTTGTATTTTTACGTAATAAATGTGTAATTTCCCCAGGCCCGCGTGGACCTGAAAGCGGAGCCGCTAGTGCTGGTGGCGTTCGTGCAGCAGTCGAGCGTGCTGACGCGGACGCGGCGCGAGCAGCACGAGGCGTGGCGCGCCGCCTGGCTGCCCGCCGGCCTGGGGCTACAGCCGCATGTGTCCAGCTGTGGCCACGCGCTGCACGCCGCCTGCTGGAGGAACTACGTCGACAACGTACAGGACAAGGAGAACCGCAGGTCTGTACCACTTACTCTGACGCGGACGCGGCGCGAGCAGCACGAGGCGTGGCGCGCCGCCTGGCTGCCCGCCGGCCTGGGGCTACAGCCGCATGTGTCCAGCTGTGGCCACGCGCTGCACGCCGCCTGCTGGAGGAACTACGTCGACAACGTACAGGACAAGGAGAACCGCAGGTCTCTACAAAAAAGTCAAAAATCATTTATTCCAATTAGACCTTTACAGGCACTTTTGAACGTCAAACAAAATTTTTAAGATATAGTGTCAGTCTGTCGGTCAGTCCTCTTAGTGAAGCTATTTGCTCGTTCCAAAGTGTAGATTCCGATGGAGAAGAACGAGCAAGAAACTCCATGGTTACTCTTTTTAAATCAGTTTCACATACAGATTCCTTTTACAAACAGTAGGTTCAATTATGTACCACCTTACTATACAGTATACATCGGTTCCCAGACAACTCATCGTTATTACAAAACAATTTATTTACCACTGAACCACAGCATCGAGTCCCAGAGAACTAAAACCCATAAACAAAATTTATCGTTAGATTTAAACCATCGAGTCAGGTTTTGTATTTTGAATCTTATTCTCATATGCCTTCAATTTGAAATACATACAACACACTGGTTCAATGGTTTAGACCTAGACTAAACAACAACCTTGTTTTGTAATCAGGCCGATAGAGTTTAAGAGCGTTTGTGTGAAATAGGTTTAGATATATAGGTGATATATAGTATATAGGGGTGCCAACTGAAAATCAGTGTTGGGTGCTCAGTGTGCCCAGCTTTTTGATGTATTGGCGACCCATTCGGTTTAGACATGTCTGCCAACCCTGTAGAACACTGTGTGTTCTGCTGTCTGCCAACACTGTGTATATGATACTGTATATTTAGCGTATTTTTGTTTTTCTGTCTTTTTAACCTTTTTATTGTTTTTTGTGTTGTATTTTTGTTTTTTTCTGGCTTTCATGTCTGATGCCGAATAAATGCATTTTCTTTCTTTCTATATAAATGTTCATGTACAAAATGACTGAAACAATTTTAAAACGTTTAGCGCCATGGGGGTCACCGGTGACCTCCGTTAGCGGAGGATTTGCTTTCAACAATTTTCTGTCGGCAGTCAAAGGCTTAAGTTTCAAAAATCATAATATTCAAAGTCTAAGTCAATATACTTGAATTCTTAGATAGAACATTGGATTACCATTGAAATCTGTTCAGTAATTTATATGATTTTAGTTTTGACAGTTTGTATGGAAATCTACCACCCGTTACTCTCTTTAAATGCCCATGAATAATCGTACACAAAATCTATTTATACACGACACTGGAATGACAATACATACATATTACACAAATAGTATAAAAGAAGTGATATTATTTCTCAACAATCTATACTTTGTAAGTTTGTATGTAGGGGGTAATCTTTGGAACCGTTGGTCGGATTGCCAAAATTCTTTCAATGATAGATAGCTATAATGTTTCTGAGTGCTTTAAGCTATAAAACATCACGTTACGATCAATTGGAGCCGAGCTGCGGCTGAAACCGCGCGAGAGTAGCTAGTACTAAAATAAAAACAATATCTTTCTACCCGCAGACCATACCGAGGCCGCCAACCAGCAGCATTTGACGTCGAAAAGAAAGAATACTTGTGTCCTCTATGCGAGCGACTGTGCAACACCGCGCTTCCTCTCCTCCCCGCACCCTCCATCCCAGTAGGCACTCCCCCACCCCTCACAGAAGAAAGTTACAACGAATCAGTGAGCATGATCCTCAAATTGAAACACCAAGTCAGCTCCGAAGCTCTTCACATTTGCACTGAGTTCTGTGAGGAGATGCACTGTCAAGCGCGAGCCAGGAGTGTTGGTGCGATGTCCTCTGACATGGAGGATGGAGAACTGGCTGATGAGACTGAGGTCTACGTCTCGACTCACGCTGAAAACCTCCTAAAACCTGACTTCCTAGTACACTTTGATGCTGAGATTCCACCCTACAATGACATGACTAAAACGTTGATCGAAGATTTTGCTAATGTGAGTATTATTTTTTCCATAAGTTTTCTGAAAGCGTATGTGTTTGTCTCTCTCTCTCTCTCTCCCTCTCTTTCTCGTCTTGTTTCGATGTTATTCTAAGTGATTGGATGCTCAATTCATCTAGATTTAGTATTGTCATGCAATTGTAAAGTAAATAACTAAAATATAAATATTTAACTTTCACATGTACATTTCTTGACAGATCCTTCCAATCTCGGAATACGGCGGTATGGTATCAAGTGCTGCCCTCTACAGGTCGACATCGTACACCATACTCAGCACAAATGCAGTCTTGCAAGCCGAGAACAGGCCGCTACTGGGCGAGCTACCAGCCAGACACAGGGACACTCTGCAGGCACTGATCAGACTGGCAGCAGCATTGCCTTCAGTCTGGTCGTCACCCAAACATCTGTCACACCACGCACTCAGCACGCTGAATACTCTAGAAAGTACCTCCCCACTTAGTCATGAACCGTTCGGTACCCTCGTTGCCCTAGTACTAACCGCACCGTGTCTGTTCTGCAAAGCTGGTGGTCCGGCCAGACCCTCAAACCTCGCCAAGCAGATCACACTACAATGCCTAAGAGCTACTATAACCAGAGCACTCCTCGTTACTGACCTCACTACCTGTAGGAGTGAGCCCATGGAGGGCCAAGAGGACTTTAAAAACGCAGACTTAGAGAATCTCCTTCCATTAATAAAGGAGTTACGGAATGGAATACTAGAAGATTGTTTGAACCCTACAGAGGTATGGCAGCTGATCCAAGGCCAATGTCATACGTTCCTGCGCTGCTGTTGTTTGTTCTATCACTTTTTAAGTGACATCAGTGCGCCTTCTGAGTTGACTGTGGTTGGGGGAGATACATGGGAGTCTCTCTGTGGATACCTGGACATGCCCACGACCTTTAAGGAACTCGTGGATACTCCTTCAGCTAGAAAGAAGATCATGGAATGGGTGGGAGTATCAACGGAATGGTTTACTGGTGAAATTCCTCCTCATGTCGTCACTGAGCCTAAGGAGCCTCCTAGGTTAGTAGTAAAATTTTGATACAACTAAAACCCCCTTTCATGTTGTTATTGCAAAACAATATTATTTTTTGTCTCTAACTTTAACAATGTATTATGTAATTTCAGTTTGATCCCGTTACCAGAAGACTTCTCTGAACTGATGAACTTGGTGTCGGAGTTCTCTTGTCCCAACTCTGAGCGCGAGGACAGCAAGAAGCCGACCATGTGTCTCGTCTGTGGACAGATACTGTGCTCGCAAAGCTATTGTTGCCAAGCTGATATACCAAAGGTTTGTGAAATCATACATTGTATTGAAAATAAAGCTCTACTAGTTTCAAGTTACAACGGGACTCTTATTCATGAGCGGCGTACGGATAGCGGTGACGTTTCGTGAGCCAACTCAGTCAGTTGAACTAGTAGAGCTTTTCTCAGTTATTCACAAAAGTAAGTCGTTATTTTCATAGAATTTGCCATAGTTACTAATAAAAAATCATAGAGTTTATCGTCTACAGTTGTTCGTACGATACGTTTATACAGGTAATGTTTAGGTAGAAACGGTATGGATGATGGATCTAAATCAGACAGAGAAAAAGAAAGAGGTATTAATATGGCTAGATTTTGAGAGTTTGTTGTGTGCAGCGGCCTGTTGTTTTATAGTAATACAGTGTAGAGTAACGTGGTGTTTGATGGCAGTGGGGCCGCAGCGGGGAGATGCAGCGCGTGGGCGCGGTGGTGGCGCACTGCGCGCGCTGCGGGGGCGGCGCCGGCCTGTTGTTTTATAGTAATACAGTGTAGAGTAACGTGGTGTTTGATGGCAGTGGGGCCGCAGCGGGGAGATGCAGCGCGTGGGCGCGGTGGTGGCGCACTGCGCGCGCTGCGGGGGCGGCGCCGGCCTGTTGTTTTATAGTAATACAGTGTAGAGTAACGTGGTGTTTGATGGCAGTGGGGCCGCAGCGGGGAGATGCAGCGCGTGGGCGCGGTGGTGGCGCACTGCGCGCGCTGCGGGGGCGGCGCCGGCCTGTTGTTTTATAGTAATACAGTGTAGAGTAACGTGGTGTTTGATGGCAGTGGGGCCGCAGCGGGGAGATGCAGCGCGTGGGCGCGGTGGTGGCGCACTGCGCGCGCTGCGGGGGCGGCGCCGGCCTGTTGTTTTATAGTAATACAGTGTAGAGTAACGTGGTGTTTGATGGCAGTGGGGCCGCAGCGGGGAGATGCAGCGCGTGGGCGCGGTGGTGGCGCACTGCGCGCGCTGCGGGGGCGGCGCCGGCCTGTTGTTTTATAGTAATACAGTGTAGAGTAACGTGGTGTTTGATGGCAGTGGGGCCGCAGCGGGGAGATGCAGCGCGTGGGCGCGGTGGTGGCGCACTGCGCGCGCTGCGGGGGCGGCGCCGGCCTGTTGTTTTATAGTAATACAGTGTAGAGTAACGTGGTGTTTGATGGCAGTGGGGCCGCAGCGGGGAGATGCAGCGCGTGGGCGCGGTGGTGGCGCACTGCGCGCGCTGCGGGGGCGGCGCCGGCCTGTTGTTTTATAGTAATACAGTGTAGAGTAACGTGGTGTTTGATGGCAGTGGGGCCGCAGCGGGGAGATGCAGCGCGTGGGCGCGGTGGTGGCGCACTGCGCGCGCTGCGGGGGCGGCGCCGGCCTGTTGTTTTATAGTAATACAGTGTAGAGTAACGTGGTGTTTGATGGCAGTGGGGCCGCAGCGGGGAGATGCAGCGCGTGGGCGCGGTGGTGGCGCACTGCGCGCGCTGCGGGGGCGGCGCCGGCCTGTTGTTTTATAGTAATACAGTGTAGAGTAACGTGGTGTTTGATGGCAGTGGGGCCGCAGCGGGGAGATGCAGCGCGTGGGCGCGGTGGTGGCGCACTGCGCGCGCTGCGGGGGCGGCGCCGGCCTGTTGTTTTATAGTAATACAGTGTAGAGTAACGTGGTGTTTGATGGCAGTGGGGCCGCAGCGGGGAGATGCAGCGCGTGGGCGCGGTGGTGGCGCACTGCGCGCGCTGCGGGGGCGGCGCCGGCCTGTTGTTTTATAGTAATACAGTGTAGAGTAACGTGGTGTTTGATGGCAGTGGGGCCGCAGCGGGGAGATGCAGCGCGTGGGCGCGGTGGTGGCGCACTGCGCGCGCTGCGGGGGCGGCGCCGGCCTGTTCCTGCGCGTGCGTGACTGCGAGCTGCTACTGCTGGCCGCCCCCGCGCGCGGCGCCAAGCTGCCCGCGCCATACCTCGACTCCTACGGGGAGACAGACCAGGTACGCTGGACACTTCTAGCTTCTCAAATCTGAGGAGATACCTTGACTACAAAAATATAAAACTTCAAAAATCGTAACATAATAAGTCGACGAGCTTCCATGAAATGACTTTACATATACATGAAGTCAAAGTAAAAATTAATACTTTTTGAAACATCAACATTGAAAGCCAAAGGTTTGGCGTTCCAATGTATCTGAAGTCAAAAAGTCAAATATTTTGTTTCAAATAGAACAATAAAACAATAAACACCTTTGAACTTCCAACAAAAAATTAATATCATAGAGTTCAATTTTATTTGTGTCAGTCTGTCGGTCTAACGTCTAATCAAGCTTTAGCGCGTTCCAAAGTGTAGATTCCGATGGCGAAAATCGAGCAAGAAACTCCAGCTACTCTTATTCAATCACTTTCACAAACAGATTCTTTGTTACATTCAGGGACCGTACAACCCCGAATATAAGTTAATTCTTTCGAAAGTGTTACAGGTTATATGGCTACAGTCAATAAAAGTGTTATCTCTTGGTAGTGATAGCCTTTTCAAAACCCTAACGTTAGGGTAACCCTTTCAATAAGTTAACTTGTACAAGATGTTACCGGCTCATGTATGATATCCAATTGAAGTAGATGACCCTTTGAAAGGGTTTGTCAGGGTTTTTAAAGGGATTTAAATAATTATTTTAAATTACGTTGGAGAAGGGGACAAGAGTTTGACCTTGAAAGTTTGGAATCATTTACAATTTTTCATTAGTGTTTCTTACTCGGTTTCATATGACAGTACTTTAAGCTTTCTCGGTTTTTTAAGTTTTAAATAACATCTGAATATTGAAGATGAACAAAGGTAAGTGTATTTTAATTAAGTACAGTAAACGGAGTGAATAGAGTACGCAGGGGTGAATCGGCACCTAACTTTGAAAGGTTATTATGGTTAATGATCTCGACAAGGTCTGTTCATATTTAGGTAACTACCTACTTAATAAATAAGTTGCATGTTCGTAAAATTATAATATCCTATAACTTACACGTCTTCAAGGTTAAAATCCCTTCTAAAGGTTGGTCTCTCTATTGTATGTAACCTTTTCTATGTGAGATGAGTGTTGATGGAGAGAATGGTTTGATCATTTTTATATTTAAAATTCTAATTGCAAAAAACGTAAGAAAATTTGAATTTCGCGGGAGTTAGGGCATATAGTTAGGTTGTAGGAAAGAAACAGAGCTATACAAGTTGTTCCCTGACCGGAACTACTCACGCTTTAAGACACCATGGTAGGTTACCTGAAATTTAGTTATTATAAAAGGAATTAGGTATTTACTTGTTTTTCAGGTCTCTTCAACGGTTAGGTAGGTACTTTTAAAGATCTTAATGGCCGCGTTTCGATGGCGCGGCCATTTAGATCTTATATACCTACACAAACTTTTTATTACTTTTTAACCATTGCTTTAACAAATTTAAAGTTTTGGGAATCGTCTACATTTATATAAAACACTAGCCGTTTTCCCGCGGTTTCATCCGCGTCCCGTGAGAACTACTGCCCGCACCGGGATAAAATATAGCCTATGCTACTCGCAGATAATATAGCTTTCTAATGGTGAAAGAATATTTAAAATAGGTCCAGTAGTTTTTGAGTTTATCCATTATAACCAAACAAACAAACAAAGTCCTCTTTATAATATTAGTAGGTATAGATAATATAAAAGTTCTTGTAGTTGGTTGTGACTTTACAAGGTAAATTGCGGTTTACGATTTGTAATAATAATTCTTTTTTTTTAGAGCATATATATATTTCAGACAGCGACAGAAGCTCAGACGAAAGCGAATCAATGTATTTTAAGGAATTAAAGACAATCGATGCTTCATGCGTGTCAATGCCGACATTGCGCCCGATATTAGATGATAATGCGTCGACTCCCGATTTGTCTTTTGAAAATGACACTAAAGAAATGGAAGATAAGGCTATAAATACGGATAAATGTGACAATAGCAAGGAAGATGATATTCATGAGTGTTACTCTTTTTCTCTACTAATTGCAAAATATCTAAGCAAGTTAGAAGAAGGACGACGTAACCAGTGTATGCATGAAATAGTTCATATAGTCATGCAAAGTGTTCAAGAACAAGAATCAAGACAAAAAAGCATTAATAATGAGAAATAAAGGTATTCTTAAATAATAAATAAGTACTACGTTTTTACAAGATTTTTATTTATTAAATAACGAGATTATTATTCAAAATGACAAAGTAAGAGGATCAAATAGCAGGCACCGTTACTGCAAGAATAATTACACAAAAATTCTAAATCAACAATTATCAAAATTATGGCTCGAAAGAAATACAATCGGCTTAAATAGCTTTCAAAAAGAAAAAAATGATAGGTATGTATTTATTGAACAATGGGAGACCGCAAAATATAATACTTATACATTATTATTTCTTTTGAAACCAGAGAGACAAAGGAAAATTATTATTTAGCGGTCCTCCGATAATCAAAAACTAGTAGGTATTAAATTATTTTTCACATTTCACATGTTTTTTTCTCATTCGAATAAATCTGGATTTGAACGGATCAACATTATATCCTTTAACAAACTTCCACTCATGTTACTTCTTAGAGGGTTTAATATAAATTTTACTGATGAAAATAACCGCTCCACTGATACCTGCGTTGCAGGAGCTGCAAACACTACATTAACTACTTTCATTAGAGAGGGATCAATTGATGCTCCTTTGCTCACCCAGTGGGTTAATATATTGGTATTCAAGGGTAGCCTGGGTTCAAATCGCAATTTACTTAACATTCCATCAAATGTATTCAGTGACGACCTCCCAGCTAGCCCACGAGTTGCCTCAGTTTCTTTTAAATAATTTTCTAATGCTGATGTTGTTTGACCATGCTGCCTGGTGCTAGAGTAATCTGGTAATTCTGAAGTTTCGGTTGGAGAATCAGATAATGTGAGAGATTGCAACTGCTGGAAAGTCTGCGTTATTAATGTTTTTGCCTTTTCACATTCTTGATCAGACAAAATTACGTTGAGGCGACCATCTAAATATAAATTTTCTAACACTAAATCATTATTTAATAAAACAGTTTCTCTCACTTTCATGGCTTTAACTAAGTCCTCTGCAAATGAGGTTCTAATAGCTTCCAGCTTTATTTTGCAGTTAAGCCATTCCGTGAAAAAGTCACCATTCGTGAGCTGTTCTCGTTGTAATGCTATCGTCGCCTCATAAACAGGTTTAAGGCAAGCAATTAAATTTTGGATTTTAATCCAGAAACTATCAGAAAAAATACTCGTGAGATCCGAGTCTTGAACATCCCTTAATAAATATAACCGGGCTAATATTTGATAAGTAGACGTCCACCTCGTTGGACAGTCAATTACTGGTTTATTTAAATTGGAGGCCCTTAAAACATTTTTTAAATTTGGTCTACGTAAAATTTTAACTGCTCTTCGTGCAGTTTGTATAGCAATTTTTGCA